TCTTTTATCCTTCTTTCCTCTCTTCCCCCAATGTGTGAAAATACACATGTATACACACACACACACACACACACACAATTTATAAAAGTTTATTGGCAAGTTATGGTGTAGACATTATGATAACTTACCCCTACATAAATCATATGCATGATTTAAAACAAAGGCATTCTCTCACATAGCCTCATTATCATCACAAGAAAATTAGCATTCATTCAGCAGAATCATCCAATAGACGGTCTACATCGAAAAGTTATTTTTGAGGCTTATTTATTTTGTCATTTTGGATCCAGGGTCCATATAAGGGCCACACAGCACATTTGGTCAATATGTCTCTTTAATCATTTTTAATTGTTTTGTGATATTGACTTTTTTTTGAAGAGTACTTTCAAAAGTTTCTTATAAAAACTACTGTCATGGGCTGGGGCTGCAGCTCCGTGGCAGAGCACTTGCCTAGCATGTGTGAGGCACTGGTTCGATCCTCAGCACCACATAAAATGTAAATTAATAAACAAAGATATTGTACATAAACTATTTTTTTTAAAAACTGTCACAATGAGTTTGTTGCTTTGCATTAGTAAGAACTAAATATAATAGACATCATAGTAAAATCAGTGTCTCCCTCTTCTCTTTAGGGAATGAGACACTGCTAGACTGTGAACTTAAAACACTAAGATGTGGATTTTGCTTGAAACTGTAAATGTGGGAAAGTCTCAGTGTGAAAGGAAGGCAGTCGAGAATTTACAGCGTGCATTTTGCGCAATTAAAAGCACAGTGCTTCTCGCCTGCTGCAGTGGCTGCCCTTGTTAGCTCTTGGCCTGGTGGCTCTTCCTTCTGGCTTTTCTCCTGACTGGGGCCTGGCCTCCCTCCAGCATCATTAGGATGCAGCAAGGAGCTGGAAACAGACCTGCAGTTACTTAAATCTCCAGGCCCAAACTGTTCAGGCTGGCTGCAGCTCAGAGGCTCAGTGTTTGCAGGCTGCGTGCTGAAGAGCCCGTGGTGTTCAGGGTTGCACACAAACATCTGGGGATGCACAAAGAAAGAACATTTCCTTAGTTTTCCTGAGACTCTGGGGAGCCACAGTCCTGTGCCTCCTGGGAATCACATTCTTGTTCTTTATTTTGGTCTCAGATGATTCCTAGAGAGCACCAACACCCATCCAATACTCTCTTCTGGGCAAGAGGCACTCAGAACTTAAAGGCCAATCAAAAAGAATCTGGAATGTCCTGGGAAAGACTCACCTGAGTGTCTGTACTAGTCACTGTCTTAGTTTGGAGTTGCCTTATTCAATAGTTAAGGAGTTTGTTTCCTATTCCTGAAATGTGGAATTAAAATGAGGGAGGCACCCTTTTCTCAATATGGGGTCCTTCAAGTTGTTAAAGGGTTAGAGCCAGTGGTTTCAGAGTTTCAGAGCCAAATAATCAAAGAGGGTGTGTGTGTGGAGGGAGTCGGGGGTTGTGTACTGGTGGGAGGCAGCAGAAAGCAGAAAATCAGGGAAAATAAGAAAATACAAGAAAAATTAGTCAAATTCAAATGTCAGGAAAGCAGAATAAAAATCAAGGCACCTGAAAAATTAGAGCGGTGGGAAAAGGAATTGGACTTCATTTCCATCTGCTAGGTTGATTAATCATGAGGCTGACATTGTAAGCTGCATGACATGCCTCAACTCCTCATCTGTAAAATGGGGACAATGATAATACCTACTGCATATGTCTGATTTGAGAATAAAAGGGAGAATCCATATGCATGCTTAGAATAGACCAGATACATGGTAAATGCTCAATGAATGTAAGCTACCAATGTTTAGTCTGTATTATAAAATGCCTCACATAAGTCACCAACATGGTCTTTTGACATCTAAAAAGACTTCACTGACCTTGAATCCACTTTCTTGACTGAAGAACCATTAAAAAAATTAGAATAAATTAAAATTAAAGCCGTTATAAAAAGAATCACTAGGGAGCTTTGGTTCTCATGTTGACAAAATATTTCCCCATTTTCAACAATACTTTACTGTAGCAATTTTATATCAATATGTGCTCATAAATATGCTAATAATAATGTGGGGTATTGACTTTTATTCTGTTTTTCCTTCTCATTTTTGTAACAAACCATTCATATGTAAATGTACCAAATCAACAGTCTGCACGTGCTCCTAGTCTTCACACTGCTTCTCTACTACAGAAATAAGAGCAAGTGCCCGAGACACGGGGTCTTGGTTTTTCTGTTTCTGGGAAGCAGTGTGGCCCAATCTGTGGGGCTTGGGTATGGGGCAAAGCCACTCTTTGATAATGGGGGTAGACCTAGATATAGAAGCAATCAGGACGGCACCTGACTACCCAGGTTCACGGGTAAGTGTATTTTTGTGATCACAAAATTAACTGGGGGAATAAGAAGGAATCTAAAACCATTCATTTTCACATATGGTAAAATATTAGGACAAAATAACGTTATTAAGAGGAAAGTTATTATATTTAGTAACAGAATGATCAATGTGCAAGTAGAAAATCTGGGTCCTTAAGACTCAATATATTTCCACCCCTTTTTTCTTCTTCCTTTGCTGTTACTTTCTTTTCTCCCTGGCACAAAATTAGTCAATGAAAAATCTCTTCCAAGAAAGTGGGAAACTGTGATGCTCAGGAGGTGGGTGGGAACAACTAAATTTGATCATTAAAACATGGAGAGTAACTAAAGGAGAAGGATAAGTTCAGGTGTGTGCGACCAGCTCAGTCACCCTCACGAGGTCCCGTGGTTGGTGACACAGGGTTTGTGAGTGATGACACATCTTGCCTGTTGAAAAGGCCCAGGGCCTTATACAGGAAAGCAGGCAGGTTGTGCTACCAGCCCCTTGGCCCCTCGGTGGGGGAAGTGAGAGCAGCATCTCCTCATTGATCTCTCGGTCCCCTGTCCTACTCCTCTTAAATCCCTCCTTCACACTGTATCCTAGGCCAGCTGCATTCCCAAACAATCCCCTTACATCACAGATTTGGGTGTTCACCTCTGAGACTCAGCCCCCCAGGACTTCCAACAACCTGTCTTTGCATCCCCAGGGTCCTCTGAGTCACCCTGCCCCATAGCTTCATCTCCCTTTGGTGCTGGCCTCAGATTTCAACCTTGAGCTCCTCATACCTGCCCTGTGGCTTTACAGCCTCCATCCTTTGCTGACTGTGACCTTGGACAATTTGCTTAACTGTTCTGGGACTCAGATCGCTCATCTACAAAATGAGGATAAATGACACTCCTAGAGTGCCATTTCCTGTCCTGTAGGTTTCACTGCCTCCTTCATAAAGTTGTGCAGGGATTAAATTAGTTAATGTGTGTGTGTATGTGTGTGTGTGTGTGTGTGTGTGTGTGTGTACATATAGACAGCTGTTGTAAGAATGCCTGGCATGTAATATGAGGTAGAGAAAGGTCACAACTTATTGCTCTCGCTATTGTTAAGAGCCTGGGTGTATTAATCCTTTCTACTACTGCTTTAAAAATTGCCATTAAGCCAGCATCTTAAAACAATGCCCATTTATTTTCTGTAGGTCAGAAGCCCAGACATGCCATAATTGGGCTCTTTGCTCAGTCTCTCACATGAGCTGGTGGAGTCTAGGATCCTATCTGAGCATCTGCCAAGCCTTCTCGAAGTTCTTGTGGTAGTTAACAGAATTTCTCTTTTTGCAGCTATAGAATTCATGGCCACCAAGAAACCTGATTTCACTTACCTTTTAAAGGCTCATTTGATTAGGTCAATCCCAGATCATCTTTCTTTTGATTATTGCAGAACCAACTGGTTAGTGATATCCCATCATATTCCTAGGTTTTATTCACAATTGAGGGGAGACTACATAGGATGTGGGGGCAGGAATCTTGGAGGTCTTGGAATCCTGGCTACACACTGGTTAACTGAAAGTGCTACTTTTTCTGTTCGTTTCATTGAACTGCACTTTGATGAATATGATTCAGTAATTGTCACTATCAGTTCAGATGTTTGTAGCATCTTACAGCATTCAGATGGATTCTCATTTATGTGCCTCCTAGAGTGCCATTTCCTGTCCTGTAGGTTTCACTAAATGATGGGGTCAGTTAGCACCTTCTGAAGTCTTTGGGGAAGAGGACAGCTAGAGACTTGTAACTGATAAACCTGTCGACAAATACCCTAGAGCTCCAAAAGGATGACCCATTCAGAACAGTTCACTTCTAAGGACTACAACAGACGAAGACCAGACCTCTCTTTAATGGTCCGTCCTGCCTGCCACTCTGCCAATTCAAAGTAAATTTGTAACTGCTAGAGAAATTTTCACTCTGTCGAGAGTTTTTGCATTTTCAAAAGTTATTCTTGTCCATCCTTTACCCACTCCCAATTAAGTATGTGTATGCATGTGTGTTTATGTGTGTATGTACACATATACATGTATATATATATATGTGTGTGTGTATATATATATATCTTCTAATTAAGTATATATATTTGCTTTTCATTCAATTTATAGTCCACAAAAAGGTATTATCAGTCAAACCCATAAAGAATGTAAAATATGTGAAGGATATATTTTAGATTCATTAATAAGAAAAGCTTCCTGGTGATAAGAAAATCTCTCAGATACCAAACCTGTTTATTATTATTTTTTAAAAATCGGTTTGAACCAGATTTTAGACCTTAAGACATGGACAAAAAATTTTGAAGCAATGGTGAATACCTGTTTATGCAATGTTATTCCCTAAAAAGATGCTATATTCTCCTTTATAATAACATTTTGCTTACAGCTATAAATGTGTCAAGATAAAGGGGAGAAATGAACTTGGCATGGCAGTGGTTGGGGAGTTTACAGTGTCCATTTACTCTGGCATTTCCTAACGAAGTATAATTTTGCAATGCAAAAGGCCAGGGTTTCAGTCTGATCTAGCTGTCTCCATGGCTGATCTGCCTATAGCAATTTGGACTATTAATGAGGGGGGACCCGTTCATAAGCATGATCTAAAATAATATAGACTTAGATTTGTCTTCTTCCTTCTAGGACAATATTATCTTGTTCTTGAGAGGTTGTAAAGAGCTCGGCCTTAAAGAATCTCAACTCTTTGACCCGAGTGACCTCCAGGATACGTCCAACAGAGCAACGGTCAAGTAAGTAATGCACGATTTATGTTTAAGGGAAACCCCTTTAGGTTTGATTTACAGTTTCGTGATAATGTTGTAAGTTCTAAGAGGTGGAGAGTTGGGTATGCCTAATAAAGTAAAAATGTGAAGGTCAAGAATCCGCTTTCCAGACATGTTGGCCTTCCTGCCTGCCTTCTGTTTGTAGCTTTCCAATCTGATCAAACTTATTTTTTTCAAATGCAGTAGTCATTCACATAGAGTTAGAATTTTGAAGAAGAGGAAAATGTTATAAAGCTCAACGGAGAGACAAGAGAGAAATACGCACCGAGTCTATGTATCTTACACACAAAAAACTATGGCTGCTCTTGACTATATGCCCTCAGTGAATCATGTTTGGGGACAGAGAATTTTTTGGTACAGAATGCCAGAATCAAAGAAGAAGCAGGGTACTTCTGTGTAAGGAAATAGCTCATGGCCAGGGTAAGGAAAGGAAATGTCCTTGGGACGTTGCAGAGAGAACTTTCCTGAAGTTCTGATTTCATACAGAACATTTTTCTACCTTAGTCAAACAATATTTCACATGAATATGTTTTAGTAATAAGCTGGATTGCTTAGACAGGATCTGTGAATTGGCAATTTTTGGAATTGTTTTATCATGATAAAACAAAAAAGGAGAGAAGTCAAAGCTTAGAGCTACTAGTTTTGTTCTATTTGTAGTCTTGATTAAAATAACATCGACCTAATAATAATAATGGAGAAAATATGGGCGAATGGAAACTATGGGGGTTTATATTAGATTATATGATTCATGACTAGAGAGAGAGTCAGCTATAATTGATTATCCATGATTACTTGTCTGTTGTCAATCTGCAATTCTTCAATATTTTTTTGTGGAAAAATTTTAGTTAAGTAAAAGAAATAATAATAATGGAATAAAAATTATAGCTACCACATGCTCCATTTATTACAGGATCTAAATCTGGCCTCTATAAATCATTGTTCCTTAGGAAATTATATTAGGTTCTGCCTCATCTCACATTTGTACTTTCACCTGGATGGCAAGAAACCAGAAACAATAGTAACTGTGCAACATCATAGGTAATAATTAGTCACACACGCGCTGCTTAGAGGGTGAAGGAAAGTTCACTCTGAGTATCGGCAGCCACATACATTTTTTTGGAGTCACTTTAAACAATAATTTGCTTTAGAAACTTATAGCCCATATCACCTTTATTGCTGATCTATAAAAAACAAGGCATCAGGAAATCAGAGTCTAGCCCTAGGCCTGCATCTCCCTGGATGGGTGGTCCCAGTTAAGCTCCCTTACTGCAAAAGCCCTGTGCCCTCATCTATAAAGTGGAATTGAACAGAATGTTCTCTGGTCTGATTCTAAGTAGAGTTTGCTTAGTGCAGACCTGGTTGTTAGAACAACCAGCTTCTAAAAAAGAGGTATCAATTCAAAGGTACAGAAAGCAATCAAAAGGGGAAAACATCACTTAGGCCAATGACGCATGGACACTGTCACTTCTTAATTACGGTACCATCTTCCTCTTTTCCCGTCCCTTCGACCTTTCCTTCTCCTTTGTTCGGTCTCCTCCTCTGTCTTCTGCCTCCCTTCCCTTCTTTATGCCATGTCCTCATCTATCTCCCTTTTTGCATTTCTTCTCCTCATCTTCTTCCCTGTTTAATTTTTCTGTCACTCACCCAGTTATCTTCTTTATGTAATTCTTTTGCATCGCCTTCCTCTGTGGCACTGGCACTTTGCAGTAATTCACTTGGCATGTATTTGCTGGGCAGCTCCTATGTGTCCAATACTTTCCTACACTAGAGAAATGGAATGAACAAGATAACCAAGGTCCTTGGCTCATCTGGAATTTACACCCCAGTGTCAAGAAGTGAGAAGCAAATTAAATGAACAAAAAAATAATCACAGGGAGCAAACATACTGAAAAGAAAAGAAAACAGATGTGAAACACAGTGACCTGTCCAGAGGTGGTCAAGGGTGGCCTCTCAGAAGTGGTAGCATTTCAGGCAAGGCTGGGTGCTAAGACATGAATAGAAAGCAAGAACCAGCCTGGGAAGGTCTGTAGGACACTCAGGGCAGAAGAAGGGCTTGGGAGAGAAACAGCGTGATTTTGTGTGTGTGTGTGTGTGTGTGTGTGTGATGTTTAAAGAAAAAGAAACCAGTGTGGTTGAAAGATCCTTCTGAAGAGTGAGTATGGTGGACGGAGGGGTTCCCAGGCAGCAAGGATGGAATCATTTTGCATAAAATTTTACATTGTATTAATATTTAGAAAATCATAACTAATTTATGTTAAAATGATGCCGTGAGTTGGCTTACAACCCTCAGCAAGTTGTTGCTTCTGGTTCTGGTAAGGAGTAGAGCGTGCCAGATGCTATCTACTTCCCAACTTTTTATGATGGAGGCTGGTTTAATTGGGCTCTATACAGGGCCAACTTTTAACACAAATGGACATTATAGCTAGGGAGGATCAACGCACAACTTCTGTAGTTCTTTGATTTCCCCTCTGAGAGTTAAGCAGGACAACCGCAGAGATGCAGATCATCTTGGTGACATCAACGGATAGTGTAAGCAATCAGGTAGAGGGTGGATCCCACAGAGGAAACTGGGATGTGCTCCTGAAATTGTCTTTTAAAAAAACTCTTTAGTTTAGCTTTTATTATAGGTAATTTTCTTTACCTTTTTTTTTTTTTTGAGTAGTAACTTGAGTAGACTCCCCCCCACCAAAAAAAGCAGGAAAAACTGTAAATGATTACTGCGTGTGTAATTTAGTGAACTCTACCTGTAATGGATGCCAGACAACTTTGATGGGAAATGAAAGCATGATCCAGAAGTGCACACAGCAAAGAACTTTTCAAGGAATTGAAACAGCTGGATGAAAATACAAAAAGACTATGGATTGCTCCTGAGCATCTAAGTTTTTGTTGTTGTTGTTTGTTTCTGTGATACTGGGGATTAAACCCAGGGACTCACATATGGCAGGCAAGAACTCTACCACTGAGCTAAATCCTCAGCACCAATTTTTTTTTTTTTTTTGAATATTTGGAATTGAACTCCAGAGCACTTTACCACTGAACTACATCCTAGCCCTTATGTTGATTTTTGTAAGAATTTGAAATCTTTTATAGATATTTTATCCATTTTTCTGATACATGTTTAATTTTTCTTGGTGGATATCTAAGCAGATTATGACATACCATCTTTATCTATTAAAACTGGAAACATGAATACATTTTCTTAATCAAACCCAAATTGCATCAATTCTTTTCATCCAAGTCCCCAATGGTGGGTTTATCTCTGAAGTGGACCACCTTTTTTTCCAGTCTTAATTGAGTTAAAATTGCCACCTATTTATTCATGAGTATTTTTAAGTCAGAATATTCACTGTAACTGAAGTACCCAGGGTCTAAATGTCTAAATATTCTCAGGAATTCTTCATTGTTTACATGATAGAATTTCTACATTGCTTCCCCCCTCACTGAAGTTAGTATGAATAATAAAAAAAAATTGTTTTTCCCTATTTTTCATTTGTTGACATGTTAATGAAACAAATAGTTCAGTAGAAATTTTTGTTATTTTACTATATGAATATTTAGAAAATACCATCAAGTAGAACCCCCCCTTACCCTGCAGTACTAGAGATTGAACCCAGAAGCATTCCACTGAGAACTACCTCTCCAGTCCCCTTTGAAAAAATTTTATTTTGAGATAGGGTCTTGCTAAGTTGCCCAGGCTGGCCTCAAACTGATTAACCTTCTACTTCGACCTCCCGAGACTCCGGGATGACAGGCATGTGCCATTGCTCACAGCCATCGAGTAGCTTTTGTTGTTTATAGTTTGAGGGTAAACATTTATGTGTCTTTCAGAACACATGTGCATATATTTGAACATAGCATGCATATTTTCCTGTCTCTGGCTAATTCCCAATGCTAATTTATGTCCAGAGCAGGGGAAAAATATTTGGCTAGTGTTGCTTCTTATATTCATATTTTCAGATCTATTTAATTAAGTAAGGTTTCAGACCTTTTCAAAGTACTTGAATGTAGAAGATTTTGGAAGTGCAATGAGATTTCATTCAAGGCAAAATCTTTAAGAGTTAAGCTTTGAGAATTCAAATACAAATAGTTCCCATTCTAAACAGAATTCTTTCTTTTCCAGATGTTACAAAGTATTCATCATTCCACAGTGTGCAGTGGAGCTTTAATCCTACCTTGCCCTACATTTTGTTTGATAAACAATTTTATCCACTGCCTGAAATAGTCTTAGACCTTAAAAAACTCTGTTCTTCTGATTTCATTATATGTGTTAGCTGCAAGTACATCTTAGGAGTGTTGAAGGGAGAAACTGCTTTTCTGATAATATTTTCTTTTCCTGACCTAGGAGCCTTGACTATAGTAGGAAGCTGAAAAATGTAAGTACTTTCACTTCCATTGCCAAACTTGTTTACTTCTGACTTTGATGGTTCAACATTAAGCTAAGTTCAATGCCTCCTATGTGCCTTGCTGCAAAGAATCCTTCTTAGAAAAAAAGTATGTGTGTCTCTGATGGAATAATTAATGACTGTGATAAAGCTAAAAATAGTAGATTTAGGAGGTTTCTCTTTAATTAGTTAAGTGCTCAATCCAGAAAAAAAAAAAGAAAGCTTGTGTTCTGTTTGTGATTCAGTTTCTTAAAACCCACAGCGATCAGACTCAACACTAACATTAGCCACTTTCCATTTGTAGGCCCAGATGGAATTATTAAATTAAGCTGTTGGGCAAATTGTTTTAGGAAAAGATCAGCATAATAGGAATAGAGTTGACTGCCACCATGGCCCTGTGCTGTTTGTATTTTTGTTTTCCTATGAATCTTTTGAGTTGTTATTAGTACTTCCTCAAATCAACATTTTATAGTTAAATCTTATTTTCAAAAGGCAAATATGTGCTTTTTTGTTTTAATTTACATTGAAGAATGTAAGAAGTTACTTTCTGCATCTAAAATAGAAACATTAGCTGTGACCCCCCAACACTTTTTTTTTTTTAATTTTCCAGGTGCTATCTATTTGATTGACATTCTCATTCTTACCTTCTTTTTCTTCCTCCATACAACTAGGGACATGTGCCATTTTTTTCATCATACAATTTTAAACAAATCAGAAAACCCATAATCTAAAACACAACACAGTCTATCTCATTATACTTTTCAAGACAGCTTCATATTCTGCACACATTAGTTATTTTATGGTCCTAGTTAATATTCTGACATTTGGAATTGTCTGTTCTCTAGAAATTTATTTGTAAGCAGCCATTTAATAAAAGACCTTCTGGAAGTTTTGAAGGATTCATGATGTAAAATTTTCCCACATCCTAGTATGGATGCACATAACCATATTTTGGGCCTGTGGCCAGCTGGAACCATGTACCTATATCACATTGTCCAAAGCATTTTCTGGCCTACCAAGTGGAAGGAGGTCCAGTAAATACTTCCCAGCCTGGTGGAAGCAGTAAGACAGAATGGGAAAATAAAATCATAGTCCGAGCTTTTAGACGACCTTCAGTTCCCCCATAATTCAGCTCCCAGGAGCTCATCTGTAGCTGACTCCTGAAGGGTTTTATGGGAAAATCAATGGAAAGAGCGTTTGCTCTCGTGGACAGATTCTTTGGAAAGACAGAACAAAATTGGTGTTGGATGGTAGCTTCAGACCATTGACTATTCATAGACATTCTTAAACATCCAAGGTAGTTTAATGGATAGCAAGTGTGTCAAGGCTAAAACTTCCCCGTCGTAGAATAGGAAGCCAACTATGCTCCTTAGTGGGGTATCTGATAATATTATTCATTGTACTGCTTTCTTCTGACTTCAGATATAATTATGCTGGGAAGCACTAGTTAACCTTCATCAGCCCGTTGAGATTTTTGCCATTGGTCTTTGCAGAACCTCTGTGCCCACAAGTAGAAATTGAGGGCCTCCAAAAGCACGTGTTTCAAAAGGAATTGACAGTCCCTTCCATTGCTTATCTGGGTGAAGACTCCAAAGAGTTTCTGAAATATGTTGCCTCCTGATTGTGAAACCTTCACTAAGTGAAAATAATTTGGGAGGAAGTCGTTTTTCTTCTTGCTGACTTATGGATCACTTTCTCGCGACCAAACTTTCCCTAAAACTGGAGTCTTACTTCAACTACCAAATCCTGTTTTGTGTTGACTGGGACGGCACTGAGTTGTTATTAAAATGATTTTCCATTTAAGGGGTACCACACACGTGTGGTTTGTACAAGTCAATGTTGCATGTTCTCTCCTTCCTGCCTTCCTGTTAGTGACCGAGTGATTCCTTGGTTTAAACGTCACTCTTGAGGGCACCTTCTCCTGCTTTTCTGCATTATTCGTTCCACAGGTATTAGTTACCATTTACTGGCTGGGAAAAGCTGCGAACAGCTGCGCGTCCTATAGCGGAACTACCTTGAACCTGAAGGAGTTCGAAGGATTGTTGGCGCAGATGAGAAAGGTAACATAACTTTTCTTCTCCATCCCATAAGGTTTAAATAAGGGGGAAAAGCAATACTTGTCCTTGTTTTTAAGATGATTACAGCCAAAGATGTCATGCTCAAGGAAATGACCATCTTACCAATGACATTTTTGCCTCATGCATCTCAAACCTACCTGAACTTTTATACCTTTGGAGAACAGAAGATCTGAGCCCAGTCCAACTTTAATTCTAAAAGAGCAAATGCAATCTGTCAGTATCTGGCTTTGTATGCCAAGGAGCTCAGGGCTTGCTTTCTTGGGAGAATAAACTTGAATTAAACAATGCAGTATTATGCAAAAAATGAACACTTGCTCTGCACTTTTATCCTAAAGGTCACTTTGCTTGCCTATCAGGGCCTTGATGTGGGTGAGTCACATCAGACAAGTTCTTGCCTTGGCACCCACCCTGGCCAAGAGTGAGAATTAGAAACATTCTCATCTAATATGTGCATTGTATGGCCATTGTATTTGAATGTCCTGGAAATTCAGGAGACATTTTTAAAAGCTTGATTTGTTTATTTGGTGTAACATTTTGTTTGAACATTATTTAAGCTTGATTTTTTTATTAGATTATGGGAAAGACTGACCTAAGGTAGGAAATTGTCAAAGAAACAGTGGCGTGCTTCACGATCCTTCGTGATCCTTCCTGAGTGATCTTTTATGAGGTTAGGCAATACATATAACTCATCCTAAGTATTATTATACAGTGTTATGTAATCCAAGAGAAGCCTCCCAGCCAGCCTCAGTGTGAACAGATAAATTCACTTGTAATCCAGTCATGAATTTGGAAAAGGCCCTATTAGAACACAAAGATTTGAGGCCTTGGTTTTTCTCACTTCCCTAACCTGCAAAATAAAGGAAATGAGACTCCTTGAGAGACTTTCAGTTCTTTGCAACCTCTGAAAGCAAGAATTTGTTCCAGCTTTCTAATAATGTGCTCTCCTTAAATTCAAGCTAGCAATGTTCACGTTTGGCCAGAGGCAGTCTGGCTCATGTATTTATAAATGGACAAAGCTTTCATATTGGTCAGGACACATATAAACAAAGTCCTTTAAGCTAAATTCTTGTAAAAAAAATTAAATAAACACACCCACACAACGAAGCACAACACGTTGTTTCTTCGTCTTAACTCTGAGTTTGTCCTGCAATTTTTCATCAGACTCTATTCTTAGAAAAATCCACAAAGTTCCAGTCTGGCTTGGGGAAGTCTAAGTGTTTGTTTTTATATTAAATTTGTACTTGAATAATAATAGATGGGTCACCTTTTTTAAACTTCTATAAAGCGTTCTGATTTTGTCAGGATTGGGTTCAGGTGGGAAATGCTACACACACACACAAAACAAAACAAACAAAAAACCCTCAAAATAACATGAGTGAGGTGAGCAGTCCTGTGTTGGTGTGGGAGTCCAGGGTTGGTGTGGGGTTCCACCTCCGTCCCATGACAGGGCCCAGCCTCTTCTTTCTGCTTGTCATCCTCCACCCCAGGCTCCTCCCCTGTTGGTCCAAGATAGCTGTTCAGGCTCTAGCTGTCAAGGTCATGACCATCTGTCATGACCACATTCAGGTCAGGAAGAAAGAGGAATGAGATGAAGAAAGGGCTGTGCCTTCCCCCTAAATACACTTCCAAAAAGTGTCACATGACACTCCTACCATGGTTTCAATGTCCCCTCCAAAAATCATATTGAAATTTAATTGCCACTGTGATGCTGGGACCTTCAGGAGATGATGAGGGACAGGATCAATGCTGTCATTGCCAAGGGGGTTGTCATCTTGGCCGTGGCTTTGTTATAAAAGCGGGCTCTCTTTGCCTGAGCACTCTGTAGCCATGTGATGCCCCCTGCCATGTTCTGAACCCTCCTCAGGCGCCACACCTTGACACTGGATTTTCAGCCTCCAGAACCATGAGGAATAAATTGCTCTTCTTTACAAATTACCTCCTCTGTGAGGTTCCCTCATAGCAACAGAAAACAGACTAAGACAAACCCCGGCTTTAATCCTGATAACTTGAAATTGGTCACGTATTCCTACCTACTTGCAAGGAAAGACTTGGGAATGGTAGACCTTATTTCAGCTAAAAATTGTAGGTATTTTTACTGGAAGAGAAGTAGACAACACATTAATGGACCTATTCTGTACAGATACAGGCTGAAGTAAATTTAAGACCAAATTTTGTCTTTCACAAAGGAGATTAGCTAGAATCATTTTCATTTTTCTAGTAGGAGAAATGTACCTACAATTGTTAACTATAGGACAAATTGTTAAGTTCTGTAATGTACATAACATACAACCCTTAGCATCGTCTTGCACACATTAGGTCTTCATAGATGGTTGCTGCTGCTGTTGGAAAGCCTGGTCAGTGCCTTTCACTGAGAAAGAAGGCAAAGCCTCCCAAAGGAGGGACACTTAGGCCAAACAAGGAGTTTGCTACAAGAACCCCCAAGATTGAAGGGATCCAACGAGATCTCCAGGTTGGAACTAGAGAGTCAGCCATCAAGGTGGTTCTCTTTATCTGACTCTCATCCCTTCTTATCCCTCTGTTTATTTTTCTGGACTAGAACATAAGGTTCATGAGGACAGAGTGTTTGTTGATTTTTGTACAGGACTGTGTTCCCAGGACCAGGACAGTGCCTGGTGGCACAGAGAACATGCCCAGTCCATGATCGTGGAATGAATCACTTCCACAGCCAGAGGGTGGCGGGTGGAGAATGAGTGAGGGTGTTGGAAAAAGAGAACTCTCGGACACTTTGGAGTAGGGTTGAGCTACCTGATAAATCACAAAGGAAGCACAAAATGTCAAGTGGTAAAGCAGAGGCATCTGGACTTTCTCAGATACCAAAAGTCATCCACCAATCCTAGCTGCTACTCTCCTAGCTGCTTTTCGTTATCTCTCACAAAGGGGTAAGAAGAAGACAGCTGGGGGAAATAATCCAAAAAGTTCATGAAATCCAGAAGTCCTCACCCTGTTCATCAACACTGTTCCTAGAGCAATTAGCAGTTAGCACAAGGGCTGACTTGGGCCTTATCCTCTTCACCCGATGTGCTTTCTGCTGAAGACACAAAGCTACTCAGCTCGAAGATGAAAAGCCAATGTAATGAGACCCCAGAAAGGGGGAATTTAGATTGTGCCATCTTCCCCATTGGTTTGTATCTTCTGCCCTCCTCCAAAGGCTTTGCTTTAGGTGACCAAAAAGAAAGCACTGTGACTCAATGGAAGGCCATAAAACTGTGTCTGCCAGTTGTCCACATCTTTATATCTGGCCAGAGGTCCTCCCTCTTGCTTCACCCCACGGTTCCTGGGGGAGCAGCTTGGCCAAGGATGACCACAGTGTCCTGGTTTTGCTTTGCAACCTGGTCGTGCTGTTCAGCTCCCCGCCCGTGCATGTGATCCGAGGGTTTGTTCTTGGCTTTCTGCACAGTCACGGACATGGTGGCCTTTCTGTTTTTCTTTTCCATTACTAGCTGTGAGAAAGCAGCTGCAGCTCCAAGAAACATGTTCCCTTTCCCTTCCTGCCTCTTCTCCTGTGGTTTGTGGAGGGGAAGGGAGGGATGTTGGGCCTTTGGGGAAACCTTTTTGATATTGTTTTCTCGAAAATTCAGTTTTGTAATGCTGCACAGAAGCAGCTTATAGGCATGTCCCTTCAATATGTGACCAGTGGCCCAGCTCCCTGAGCGTCCCTCCTCCCTGATAGAGAACTAGACCCAAAACATCTAGATATGGGATATGAATAGAGAGGGAGAGAAGTGTGTGTGTGTGTGTGTGTGTGTGTGTGTGTGTGTATAAAGTTGTGTCCTTAACTCAACTTGCAAATGTGGTGTAATTTACATATTGAAACTTCTATACCTAAAGAAATATATTAGTGATCATAGCCAGAGCTGATATTTTGAGTCCTTGTTCTGCGCTGTGCAATTTTCTGAATGCCTTCCATATACCAAACATTTAGTCTTCCCAGGAACCATGTGAAAGTAGTATTGTCACCAGCCCCATTTTACAGATGAAGTCGAGACTAAACAATTGGCGAGGGATAGAGCCAGCATTTAAACCCAGTTGGTCTGACTTCAGAGACATGCTCTTAGCCCTTACTCAAATCAGCCTCCCTTTTGCACTATTTATAGTTCTGAGCATTTAATTAGTCCAGGTTAGCATCATCCACAGGTCAAGGAGGCAAGAAGTGTCCAGTGGAGGAGAAGAGAACTGCGTATTTTTAGATTTCACCATTTGGGATTTGGAGAGAGAGTCCTGTTTTGGAATCATACCTTTTGTCTCTTCTTGTGTGACTTCAGTCAAGTTACTTAACCTCTCTGTTTCTTATTTTTTTTTCCTTCTATTAAGAATGACAGTGCACCAGGCGCAATGGCACATGTGTATAATCCCAGTGACTTTGGAGGCTGAGAAAGGAGTATCTCAAGATCAAAACTGCCTCAGCAATGGCGAGGCACTAAGCAACTCAGTGAGACCCTGTCTCTAAATAAAATCCAAAATAGGGCTGGAGATATGGCTCAGTGGTTGAGTGCCCCTGAGTTCAATCCCCAGTACCAAAACAAAAAACAAACAAACAAACAAAAACCCAAAAATAATGATAATGCTAACCACATCACTGGGTGGTTATATGGAGTAAGTAATGTGACATTCAAAACGTGTTACATATGGCCCCAGACCCTAGGTATTCAGTAAAAAGGGAGCTTCGTTTTTTAGCCATTTGACCTATTCTCAGTAGGTAAATAATTCAAGATATTGACTGTGTTTCCAAAGAAATGAAATTCAAAACCATATCTAATTTAGGTTAATACTTGTCAGTGAGTCCAGAGTTCTTCCTTTTCCAGCTATTCAGGCCTGACTTTTGTTCCAAGTCCTGGTTAACTTTTGACCTGCAAGTAAACTGCCTTAATTTCCAAAATAGTAATTTCTGCCTTGGGGTCATGGAGGCCATCGTCACCCAGTTCTTCAGGAGTGGCCCTCAGGTCCTCTGCGTGGAGGCTGCAGGGTTCTCCCCAGCCCTTCCCTTGCCCACTTACCCACTCCCTTCTCTTGATGCAAAACCTGCATGTGTCTTCTGAATTACAACCACTCCAACCCCCAATGCCTCCCTCCGGGGAACGTGTCAGAGGACCCAGATATAATTGATAGAAACAGCCAATAAAGCACTTCCTGCAAAGGCCTCAGCTCCTGTGGGCATCTTAGTCTAGACCAGTTTCCAAAACTGCTAACATGGAGAATATTTATTTAGTTTGCCTTTTTACTGGGAATGCAGAAGGGACCTTCATGAGCATCCTGGGAAACCCACAGTGCGACGTTCCGGTCTTTGCAGATGAGAACATATCCCTCTGCCAGTGTTATCCTCAATCCTGATTTTAAGCGACAGTCTGGGGGATATTAAATTGAGGTTTATCTTTGAGTGACTGGAGTTATTTTTGTTTTCGTCAGCCTGGGCTATTGTAATGAATGCTACGACACTGGCGGGAACAAGGCTTTTATTATAATCCGAGGGTGAGGATGGCTTTGACTGACCTTTCTTCTGCTGGAGTTTCAGTGTTTTAGTATGTGCCGCTTGTGCTGGAAAGAATTTATAATCACAGGCTGTCAAAGACAGCCATTGTTCTCCCTGCTCTGAACATGTGGGTCAGCTACAAGTGCTTTCAGCTCCCCCAGCGCCAAGAGCTGGCTGAGAGCAAGAGCATGCCTGGATTCTTCTGAAGCATCAGGAAAAGCATTTTGCATATTTTTCATTGCTTTTTTTTTTTTTTTTTAACTTTTTGCCTCAGAGAGACAGCTCCCTTTCAGAGCAGGAATTTCCCTCCGAGGTAGCACGGCATGGAGGCATGCTGCTCCAGGATTTTACAGAGCCGATTCTGCTGCTAACACAAATGCTGTCTGTATTTGCCAGATAGCATAGACAGGAGCCCGTCGCACGGCTGAACTAGGGGGCAGTCCCCGTCCAGGCATGCAGTTATGGATTCTGAAAGACAGGTCAAGGTCAAGGTCAAGGTTTTTCACTTTTGCTTTCCTCTATCATTGCATCATTGTGAATCCAAACTGTGATCCTTCACTCTTAATTCTTTTGCTTTGTTTGTTTGTTTGTTTGCTCAATATTATGGAGGATTCATTACTTGGGGATGTTTTATTTGTTGGTTTGAAATGTCGGGTGATTTCCTGATGGAAAAAGGTTGAGGAATGGAACAGTGACCATGGATGCAAATCAGATCTGCCATGACTGGTTGCTGCAACGTTGCCATTACTGATTCGATATGCAGGATATCTTGGAGAGAACTGGAGACCAATTTTCCGGATCTGTTTATTAATGTCTGTAACTCTTTTTATTTTCGTACAGGAAACTGATGACATTGAGAGTCCTAAACGCAGCATCCGAGACAGTGGCTACATCGACTGCTGGGATTCCGAGCGCAGTGACTCTCTCTCCCCTCCTCGCCATGGCCGAGATGACTCCTTTGACAGCCTAGACTCCTTTGGCTCCCGCTCTAGGCAGACACCTTCGCCAGATGTAGTGCTCAGGGGAAGCAGTGATGGTAGGTTGCAGTCTTCATAAACTGCACATCCTGGAATTAATCATTAACCGGGGCTGCATGGCAGAGAGATGGGTGCTGGGAAGGCATGATTCCACAACCACCTTTCTGGAACCTGGTAATTCTATCAACCGGTAGGGAAAAAAATAAATGTCTTTGAATGTTTTTCATGGTGCTCAGAACTTTGGTTGATGTTGCCAGCGGTTTATTTGAACACTGCCTCAGTGAGCATATCTTCTATTGGAAAACGTGTTACATCATTCCTCACTTGGCTTTGGTGAATCAAGATGCTGGCAGACCATTAGCTCATAAAGTGTGCTAAAGTTTATGTACTCTGGGTATGAGGAAGGGAAATGTTTGAGCGAGTACCACACTGTATAAGTGAAAATGGATCCATTTCCAGCAAACTGGAAATGCACTACCCACACTTAGGAAACTTCTGAAACCTGGGATTGTGTGACTTTAATTGGCACGTTTTTTGGCAATCTGGTACTTATGATACCTGATCGGTTGGCTAGCTCGATGCAGGTGGCCCTTAATGTATAGTGCACAACCCAGGCTGCCTGTTCACCCTGAGGCTGGATTTGATTTCAACCCCACAGATTTTATATCACCTGTATGGAATGATCATTTTTCCTTACAAAAATGTGTGGTCATGTAACCTGATATAAATTAATGCCTGTTTTTAAGAAGCTGCTTGCCTTATTTATCTTGCATCTTTGTAGGTTTGGGAAGGGAAAGGGGCTTGGCTCTGCATGTTAAAAGTTGCAGAAAGTCACCGAGGCTTAGTGGGGAATTTTTTGTTTCCATTTTTTTAATATATTGCTTGATTAGTGATAAATTTCTGGACTTAGACCTACTCTCTGTGACCAGAATTATCTTTTGTAGCTAAAAGATACAAAACTGTGTTACTAAAAGGACTTGAGTATGGAATGTATCCAGAATCTGAGTTAATTACATACAGCATCTCATTTCATCCTCAGCCCAAATCTTGGAGATTCACAGTATCTTACTTACTCCTCTTCTTTAGCTGTGAGACATCCTTTATTATGCTTATTTTACAAATGAGGCTTCAAGAAGTTAAGTATTGTTCCAATATTTTTAAGTGGACAAAAATCACTGTCAGTAAAATATCATAACAATGTTAGCCTCAAGAAGTTGGAGTCCAAAACATACTCCTCATTTACCAAAACGTCTTTCTGTTTCCCTAGTAGATGTTTCATCCTCAATGACTGGGCAAATGCTTTTCTTTAGGACTTATACTTTCTAGCAAATAAATCAGCCTAGAGGCCATGTAGTATGTGACTTCTAAAGAATTCTATGGTGCATTGTGGGCTGCCTGAAAAACATTTCTAAGATTTTATTTGACATCTTAAGTACCACCCACAGGACTTGAAGTGAAATACCAAGTCCATGATCTAATTAGGCTTTAACTTAACCAAAATGTGAATTTACTCTTACAAAACTTCTCTTAGTCAAACTGTTTCATTCATATTGTTTTGATTGCTTTTTAAAAATTATTGCCTTTTTTTTGCCCTGATTTGTTATAACTAGTAATATAGATCATTCACTGTGTCACCAGCTTCCAGGGGTTCAGAATGATGCTGAACTACATCTTGAGGGAATTTTAGATGGTGATTGTTAATATTATATTAATATGTACTGAGGCATAATTTAGTTTGCAGCAATTAAGATTGATAAGCTAGAGTCTACTTATAAATGTTTTCTCCATCTAAAGACTAACATAGAATTGAGCATTATAAAACACTCTTATGAAGTAGCATCCTACACAGATTTCACCAATCAGGCTGATACCTTAATTAAGGCTTATGTTCCTGTAAACGAGGAGGTTTTTTAAAAGAAAAATAACACACATTTGATCTGTCTTTAAAATGCAATATAATTTTAGCCACATATATGTTGGATTTCACATGGGTTTATGGTATGTTTCTTTAAATGATGACAATCAGGAAGTTTGCCCGTTCTAATAAACACTTCCAAATTTGGTAGAACTTTTTTTTTTTGTCTTCAAAATATATTTCCTAGGACTTAATAACAAATTGGGGAAAGCCTTACCATGAATTTCTTCAAGACTATATTGAGTCAATATGGAGAGTTTTTATTTTATTATTATTGGTACCCAGTGACCCATTCAAAAAAAAATCAAGAGACACATTTTTCTGGGCACAGGGGCACAAACCTGTAATCCCACCTGCTAGGGAGGCTGAGGCAGGAGGATTGAAAGTTTGATGCCAGCCTCAGCAACTTAAGGAAACCCTGTCTCAAAGTAAACAATTAAAAGGGCTCCAAGTGTAGCTCAGTGGTAGAGCACCCCGGCTTCAATCCCCAGTACCCAACAAACAAATTAGCTTTTTATTAAAAGCCCCACATTCCGAAAGGTGCTGTGGTTCAGTGTGTTGGACACAGGATGAACTAATAGGGTTGATTCAGCCAAACTGTCTTGCGAGTTAGGTGCCCATTTCCTACCTCTCCTTCATTAGCTCAACTTCTAGGGCTGCTTAATGGACTTCAGTGAAGAGGAACTATAAATCTTTCCACTCATAACCTTCTAAACTGATCACATTTATGATAAGTAAGAGGCATCCTGTTAAATGAATATTCTTCTATTTTGTATGAGAGCTGTATGAAAGGGGAGACATAAGGAATAAGCAAAATTAAGTGTTAGAGGAAGATTCAAAGAAAAGCATTATGTGGCAAAGATAAAGGAAGGAAGCAGAAAAGAAGGAGAAGAAGTGAGACCCCTAGTTGACGGAACAGAAAAGTAGCCTCATAAAAAGGAAGGGTTGGCCTTTTATAAAAATAGATCTCCTTGTGCTCTGTTACATTTTCCTAACTTGGGTCATACATGGAGAAGCCACCCTAATCAATTTCTAAGTTCATAGGATGAGATAAAAATTTTTTCCAGTCCTGGCCTTAGATGAGCTCTAACATTAGCCAATGGTGTACCATGCCAGCCTCTTCCGAGGTGCTTTATGTCATCTCATTTAATCCTCAGGAGAGCTGTAGAATCATCTCTGTGTATGCCATGACGACCTTAGTTACAAAGGGTTTAAATTCCCAGGGTGGGGCAGGTGGGAATGTCTCAGGGGTAGAGCGTTTGCCTAGCATGTGCAAGGCGCTGGGTTCGATCCTCAGCACCATATAAAAATAAACAAATAAAATAAAGGTATTGTGCCCAACTATAACTAAAAAAAATTTTTTTTAAATATATTGGTGAATAAAATGTTTAAAGAAACAAGTTCCCAGGCCACGCAGCTAGCGGACGTGGAGCTGAAATGAGCCTGGTCTGTAGGTCCATAAACAACACACCTCTCAATGAGCCACTCTGCTCTTGAAATGTCTATTGAAGACATTCATCCAAGAATAATCGGTGAGGGGAGGAGGTAGTGTGTTTATGTGTCAAACAATGTATTTTGAGACATTCACAAAGCCCATCATAGATAATGTGTTTTGAATATGGAACATAATAAATAAGGTTCCCAGGTTATTGGATTTTAGAACTGAGGGATCCAAGACAACTCTGATCCACCCCGAAGCTTCCATAGTTGGTTGAAGAGTTATTTTCTTGCATTCATTTTTCAGTGCAGGGCAGTACTTCACTTAGGACACTTTAAGCAGAGAACATATTCCCAAGAGAAGTGTGTTACCACAGGAAAAACTCTGAGAGTTCAGAGAACAGACACTGGTTTCTCAGAGCTATCACTAGACAGCCATGAGAAAGGGCTCCTTTGGCTTCTCTGAGCCCGTTTCTACCTTTATAAAAGGGAATAATTCTGTAATTCCAGTGACTTGGGAGGCTGAGGCAGAAGGATTGCAAGTTTAAGGCCAGCCTGAGCAACTTAACAAGAGCCTGTCTCAAAATGAAGAATCTAAAGAGCTGGGGACGTAGCTCAGTGGTGAGGTGCCCCAGGGGTCAATCCCCAGGACTTCAATAAATAAATAAATTGAGGATGATATCAAGTGTGGAAACATCTAAGAGCTTGGAAAAGCGAGGTAGTGTTAGTGTCTATTTATAAAGCAATTCACAGGAGGCCCTAAACATTTTATTATGACACTGAGACAGATGTACTTGTGAAAGGACTTGAGGCAGGAAGGGGGCTAAGTGATGAAGTAAATAGTTAACAAGAAATGAAATGGTCAGAATTTCAGAAGGGAGACTGAAAGCAAGTGGGATGAATAATTCATAAACTGAATATTTTGTGTACAACAATGAGCAACTTGTTTATGGCCAACACTTTTAACTTCGACAGTCTTTTTAAAAAGCAATTATATCATTTAATCTCCAGGGCAATTAATTTCATTGCTGTTTTACAGGGGAGGACAGTGAAGTGTGTTAGAGTCGAGCCTAGGAACTCACAGCTCATTTCTGACAGATCCAGAACTATGATGATATTTAGAGTAGGCAGCATTTGCTCAAATTAAACTATTCATAGTTTAATTGGTGGTGGGGGGTGCCGTGAGAGGTACTGGGTATTGACTCAGGGGCACTCAACCACTGAGCCACACCCCCAGCCCTATTTTGTATTTTATTTAGAGACAGGGTCTCACTGAGTTGCTGAGTGCCTTGCTGTTGCTGAGGCTGGCTTCGAGCTCATAATCCTCCTGTCTCTGCCTAGAGTAGGCAGCATTTATTAAACACTTGGTGCCAAGTCCTGCCCCGATAGTTTTACCTGGATCTGATCCTTCCAACCGTCTTATGAAGCAAGTGACATTATTATCCCCATTTTATAGATTGAAAAACTGATGCAGTGGTAAAGTGATGCGTACAAAGTCTGATACATAAAGAGACCAGTGAGTAGCAGAGTTCAAAGTGAAGCGGATCTGGCTTAAAACCCTGCACACTACTCACTCTGCATCTCTTGGCTCTTAGTTGAAGGCTCTTTTCTTAAATGTGGATAGATTCATTTCTATTCATTATCGTCGGAGTTGAATGTGTTAAAAATGCTGGTCATTTATATAATACTTAGCAAAAGCTTCATTCTAATAGGTCTTAGAAATCTAATGAGATGAGACCCAGGAAACAGGAATACAATGTAATTATCGGGGTCTTTGCCCAACAGAAGTCTGATGTGGGCCGCATGGAATTCCTTTGCATTATCTAAAGTGCTCCTTAAGCCAAGTCAGTTCATGCATTCACCAGATAACCTGAGGATGCCCACCATGTGCAAAGGCAGTTTGGTAAAAACCACGAACAATACATAACTCTTCTTCTCAAAACACAAGGCAGAATGTATAATGTGCCAGAAGAGAAGACAAGATTATAGAACCATAGGGATCACAGAAAGAAAAAAATTGCCTCCAGCCAGGGCACCCGGGCAGAGCTCCACTGCAGGGGAATCTACAACCGCTCCTTGGCAGGCAAACCCTTGCTGTGATCCAAATTGGTCACCTCCCTGAATTCTTATTGTTCTTCATGTTCATGTGCCTTCTCTACAACTTCAATCTTCTAGGTATTTCATAGTTTCAGATACCTCAAAGACAAGTCCTTTATAATTCTTATTTGTCAAAATGTCTAGCACAGTATAAGACCTGCAGCAAGAGCGCATTAAGAATTCCCCAGGTGAATTGATGTCATATTGCATGCTATGAATCTCAGCGGGCTCGTAGTTCCATGCCAGGTGTATAATTCCCAGATACAGTTAGGTGTCAACTCTATATTTATTCTTAGTTTGGTGGCTTGTGTTTGTTTTTTCCTTATTAGACTTGAGAACTTTTCCCAGAGAGGACACGTGTAGACTGATACTTTAGATTTGTTAAGTGATGGACTTAAGGGAGGAATCCCCAGAACCCACAGATTTAACCACATCCCTGACACTGTGCACTCACCCCTGGGGAACTTTCTGTTCGCCTGACACACTTTTCCATCACCCACCTTGTCTTCCCCAGGGAGAGGAAGTGACTCTGAATCCGACTTGCCGCATCGGAAGCTGCCAGATGTGAAGAAGGATGACATGTCTGCCCGGCGGACTTCCCATGGCGAGCTGAAGTCAGCAGTGCCTTTTAACCAGTACCTCCCAAACAAGAGCAACCAGACAGCCTATGTCCCTGCCCCTCTGAGAAAGAAGAAAGCAGAGCGAGAGGAATACCGCAAGAGCTGGAGTACCGCCACCTCGCCCCTGGGCGGGGAGAGGCCCTTCAGGTAAGCCTGTGCTGTGCTGCTCCTGTCCTGGGGAAACTTTTGAATGAGAAGCAGGTTAAACAACCATTTCAGAGCATGGATGGAAGGGGCAGAACAGATCCCTGGAGAGACCTTGTCATGATAAAATATCAGCTTCACAAAGGCACCTAGAACTGGGCCTGGCCCATGGGAGGTAACCAGAAAATACTGGTGTAATGAGTAGCTGTATAAAGCCAGTGTTTCCAACAGGAGAAAGGGATCAGATCTGTCATCTGTATCCTTCTGCAGAGACTGCCTGACTCCTGATCCTGTGAGGCTGGGTATAGGAAGACTTTTTATGCAAAATGACTTTTTAATATCTTTGTACAAGTTCATCCAAATACAAACTCAAGTGATGCTTGGAACATGCTTCACAATCACACATACGGACAAGATAAATGGAAAACACGTTGATCTCATCTCTTGAGAGAAACAGTGTTTTCCTAAGAAAAACAGTCTTCTCCTTACTCTCATTTAGGTATTTATTTATTTGTTCAGCATATATTTATTGAGCATCTACAATGTTCTAGGTGCTGTCTTCTAGGCTTTGGGGACCCAATGGTATATAAGATAAGAATCCCTGCCTTCAGTAACCTTACAATAAGGGAACTTTTCTAATAGTTCACCTTCACCAACTATGATTTTTCTGTTGAATAACATTTTGTTAGAAGTTTTAACTATTGAACAACGCTAACAAGCTTCATTTTTCCAGCAGAAAAGGGTTTTTCCTTTCAGTACCAGTGTTGAAATAACTCTTAATCAATGTTTAAGTACAAGGCATTGTATTAATGAACCAGTGGCTGCACTTATTGTCTTCACATTACCAGGTTCATATTGCATGCTATGACTTTTTTTTTTAAGTGATACTAGAATGGCTGGGAACTGACATATGATCTGCTCCCCCCGCCAGTCTGTTAGTTTGGTAAACCATCTTGTCCAACTCACTAGTTATCCTGAAACAATAGAGGAAGAAGGAAGCGAAGTGGGGTCTCCAGATGAAGAAGACCCAACCTGCCAAATGGATCCTGGTGGGAAGGCTCCCGATGGTGGGTTAGAATTACCCAACGTTAGTGGGAAGGAGCAGCCTCCTGCAGAGGGGGCTTCAGTGGCGCCAACTCCCCTGTCTGAAGACAAAGATGCTGCTGAAATCCAAAAACGCAGAAGGCTAGAGCAAGCCGGGATCAAGGTCATGCCTGCAGCGCAGCGCTTTGCCAGGTTAGCGCTGCTGCTGGAGGGCCGGCCCCACCAGCTCTCTGCATGCCCGCAGGTTTGGAATCTGCCCAGCAAGTTGGACTGTTCATCCTGTTGTCCTGCTTCCTGCTTGTCCCATTGCATCACTCTTCCCTACTCTGAACAAAGAGAAATAGATAATAGCTTTTGCCCTAGGGCCCGTCTCTGCCAAGTGTTTGGTTATTTTAAATGGAGGTGAAGGCTGAGTTCCCTGCTGCTTGATTTGACTTTGTGCTAGTCAGTCCTTTGTGGGCTGCAGGATTTACCTAGCAATGGCATTTTATTTGTCTATTGTTTGTGACTTGTTAATGTTTATACTACTCCTAAATGGCTCATTATCCCAATGTACACATCACTAGAGAATAGTGTCTTGAAATGGGGAAGACTCTTTAGGAAGAGTGGCTGGCTTAAAAAATCCACTCACTTTCTTTGCCTTAAGGGAGTAGTAACTGGGATTGAATTTATTTCTCTTTATTCTCTAAAGTATGTTGATTCAAAACCAAAGAATAAAGTGATTACTTCTTTTAATTGTAACAAAGGCACCAGAGTACAGTCCTGAGGCTTCATACTGAAGGTTTCATGGACACCTTCAGCAATCAAAGCCACAGAAAATTAGTTGGACAGTTTTATGTAGTGCTTTGTAATCCTGGTTAACTTTTCTTATATAAAAACTCACAATTCTAACAAATAATACACTATAAATTGGCTTCGATAGCAGTCCAACAATTGAAATTCCTTTGTCACTTTCTATTTCATTTAATTCTCAAAGACAGGTGCTATACTTGTTTTACAGAAAAGGAAACTGAGGATGAGCGCTAATAAGTGACTTGGAGAGCTAGTCACCACCAGCCTGGTGGCCAGGTTTGGGTGCTCTGACCACAGTACCTCATGGGCCTCCCACACATTTGATGGAACACTTTGATTTCTCTGTTCAGCTTCATATGTGGTTATTTCTGTGGCCTAGGTTTTTATTGAATGTTGAAATATATATATATGTATCCTTAGAGTAGTTTTGTGTTGATAAAAAACCAAGAATATACTTTTTCCTTTCTGTGGTATCCCACAGATAACTATGCCTATCCAAAACATGTACAGCTTCTAGAAATTTCTAACATTTAAAATTATATGTGTGCTCCAAGCAGCTCTCTGAGATATAGACAAGCAATGCCATAGACTCCTTTCTAGAAAATACAGATATTTTTTGAATTTTGATTCAAAGACATTGTCAGACACATGCTGGAGGGCCAGCATCCCTTGAACATCTGCTTATCCCAGAGACTGGGCTAGATGCTGAGAATACAAAAATGAGTAATATTCCCTCACTTTGTACTGTTTTTAGACATCTTATGTCCCTCTTTAAGTTCAGGACATAATTAGAGTGTGAATTTACCCCTGTCCTCTCCAAATTTAATCCTTGTGTCTTTGACACACATGCTTTCATTTTTACAGATCTGTGAAGTCTTTAAGCTAAAATTTACCAAGGGCATCATTATCTTTCAAGTATCCAAAAAAGCAAGGGGAGATGAGCAGGGAGCTACACAGAGCTAAGTGGGCACACCCAGGAATAATGGCGACATGTTGAGAAAAGAAGTCAGGCACAGGATGGGAATGCCATCAAGTGTTGGTGCCACTTCAGTAACCAGGAGGCTTACTTGACAATGAAACATTGAACACTTGTATGACGATTCTCAAATGGTATACAAGCACAGAATCCTAATTAGTTTAAGGATGTCATTCTGATTGGTGTCTGTTCTACTTACGTGATCATTTTTGCTCCCATTCATATTTTCTGCTCTCAGATTAAAGATTTACCTCTTTCATTCAAGTGGACTCTATGAAGCAGAAGTTTGCAAGACAGTCCATGTCCTCCTACCTCAGATCTTATAAGTCTTTAAAATTAGGCCCAAGATAATTATACATATTCCTAGAGAATGTCCTCAACAGCACCACCACAGACCTGCTTCAATCACCAGATTCATTTGTTAGACAGATTTTGTCAGCTGCTAGCCAGCTTATGAGCTTTTAAACAGACCATGCCACCAGCCTGGCACATCTGAGTTTTTGTCACTTAACTTTTGTAAGCCACAATAGAGTTGAGAGTCCTTCTAAGTTTATCCACATTTGGGGGTCCTGCTTTTCATGTGGCGGAAAGTCACTTAACTGGAATGAAATGCATATCATGAAAAAGAAAAGGATTCTTGCTGTCTGGAAAATAAGAATATAAATCACTGAAATATGCAGATGTCTCTCAAAGCATTTTAATCTCAGTCTCCTGTTTTGACATCCAGATGGATTCTGGCCATCACATCTTTGGACCCAACAAGAGGCCCACGATCCTCCTCCTTGGGGGCCATTTCTCAGTTGAGAAATTATGTCTGCCGAGAGGAGAGAGAGCCTGGGGACCTGAGGCGCACAGAGACAAGAACAAAGCTCTATTTTTACAGACCAGTTTTCAGTTTGTCTGCTTCTCAGGCATCTCAAACACCACTTTGCATTATTTTTAAGACAGTCTACAAAAAGAAGCAAAGGTGATGTTATTTCAGTTTCACATGAGGTTAGAAGCCGGGCAATCCCGAGCCTCCTGTGAAATAATATATTAGGAGGTATCTTAGCATCAAGGGACACAAAATAGGCCTTCTTAATAAATGTGTGGCATTTAATATTTATTAGTTTCCACTGAAGTAAAAAATAAAAAGGAACATATAAACTACTTTTTCTTCTATTTTATTTTATGATTGTGTTAACTTAATTACTCCCTCCCCCAATATAAGACTAGGTCAAAGAAACCAGGATTTCTGTTTTTAAGAGGATAAAATAAGAACCAAGATTCACTTCCCCTGAATTAAAATGCCATGGAGATTTGAGTTCTCTTACTTGGTGTTTCCCATTGGAGAAGTAAACTTTTTTTTAACTGAATTATAGGTTTCACGTGATTGTACTCCTTTTCTAATTGTTTTCATATGTTTCAGCACTCAGTATTTTCTGCTAGTCTGTGAATCTTCTCAACCACATAGTAATTAATTACAGAGGGGGAAAAAACTCTCCGAGGAACAATAGACATTTTAGAAATCTTCAGAGGAAGAGCAGACATAGCCAAGCCAGACACGTATCCCCCGCATCCCTCCTCACCAGATGCCGTCACTGATTGTGGGTGCACAGTTCTTTGGGCCTTGGGACCAGGCAGACACATACCATGCACTGATCTTTGTAGCTTCCCTGCCTAGAGATGGGGTGAACAGAGGTTTCTGGCATGACCCATGACATTCCCAGGAGGACTAACAGGCTTTTCGGGAGAGCCCAGTTTCTTTCAATAGAACAAGCTGACAGCCAAGCAGAACGGGCTGCTTATTTGTTGCCAAGTAAGAGGGGGTAAAAGACAATGCCAGAGCTTCCTTAGTTTAAATCAGTCTCTCGTTCACTTTGAACTATATAAGGCTCAGAAACGTTGAGAGAAGAGCCTTTTCTTCCCTGTCCCCTGCGTCAGTCTTTCATCTCTCCTGTGATGCCTCTCTTGTTTTAGATGAGGCTGGGCTGGGTGGCCAGGTTGGGGATGGGGCTCTGCAGTTCTCACTGGAGGATGGACCCTGTTCCTTCCAAGCGAGCTGCGTCCACCCAGCAACCCAAGCTGCCCAGAGCCACTCATCTGTGAATGACCTGAAAGAAATGAAATAACCAGCCCTTCCCATGAAAACGAAGTCTGATAGCTCAAGTCTGCCACTTACATTGATTTCAATTAATTTACCTACATTCAAATGACATGAAAGGGAGAACGTAACATTCTGCACATTGGGCCTTATCATTCCTAGTTCGCAGGGTTGTTGTGAACGTTAGTGCTTCTGGGATGTACTAGCTGCTCAGAGAGTTGTAGTTATTGGACAATAAAGTAAAATATATCAAAGTTTCACCATAGATGGTCATTAGATCTATCAGGGGAAATGACACATCATAAAAGTCACCAATATACTTTGTTAAGTAGACACCTGTAACTGCTATCCTACACTTTTGCCTTAGACATATTATCTATTATTTCATGGCCAACAGCTCCAGCCTAGAGTTTGCATCATTATTTTTTTTCTCTCTGAATCTGCTGTAAAGCTCTAAGTTTATGGAATTCAAGCAATTAGCAAAAATCACTCATTGCTTCTGTTTTTCAAGTGGGCGGGGCGTGTCTTTTAGCAGCCAATGATACGGAAAATTTCTTCACCCCCACTTTTTTTTTTTTTAAGGACATATATCTAAACTGAGATCACTTGAAATGAGTCCTGCCACACTGGGCATGGAGCCTAAAAAGACACCCCAGGGGACTTTGGAGCCTGGCTGGGCTTACATGATGCATAAGGTGCCAGCTTCTCCCTGCTCAAATTAGCATCACAGTTAGGCAGGACCATTTGCATACATGCATATTTTTGTATTCCAAAGAATTCTGCCTAAGCTGTGCATAGTGGTACATGCCTATAATTCCAGTGACTGGGAAGGCTGAGGCAGGAGCATAATGAGTCCAAAGCCAGCCAGGGCCACTTAGACCCTGTCTCAAAATAAAATGTCCTGGAGATGTCTCTCAGTGGTATAATCCCCCTGGGCTCAATACCCAGTACTGTATTTGAGGAAATAAAAGAATTTTGCCTGAGATGACGCCCAAGACTCCTGGTCAAAGAGTAGAAAGAGTGCTGCTCATGGACTTGAGATTCATGCTGAGGATCTGCTTCCACACTGGGGTGTGAGAATATGTAAGGTTTGTGCTTCCCTTTGGGGGTATAAGTTTGAAAGCATTTATAAACTACAAAGTGTTGTGCAGATATGGTGAGGTGTGATTAGAATTCTGCTATCATTAATTCTGCCTAAATGTTGTCTATAACCACCAGGCAAGGTCACAAAGGCATCTTAAGTACAAGTCACAGGCTCCCTTCATTTAGAAAACAAATTACTTCACTTTTTTTTTCTTCCATAATAATGACAATACTGTGGGGGAGGGTGCATGCTGTACTTTCTACTTTCCTGTTGTGGTCACTTGCTCACTGAATAGTACATTGGTTTGTTTGTCACCATAGAACAGGATATCTGGACTGCCTGGGTTTGCATTTTAAGAACTCACTCTGACCCCTGGCAAGTGTCTCAACCTAATCTGTTTCCAGTTGGTAAAATGGGAATGATAATTAACAGAGACCTTGCAGAGTTAATGTTAGGACATAATGAATTAATACTTGAAGGAATCAGAACACTTAGTGTGCACTCAGTAACCATTTGCCACCTGCAATATCTTCAGTGCTTTTTACATAAAGTACCTTTGAAGAGGTTTATGATAGGGCCTATCATGGTCCTTCTGACCATTCTTCATGGTCATGGTCAACCTTGGTCCTTGCCAGACACTTTGGCCACAGAGGCAGGGGAGAAGAGTGGAGGAACTGACAGTTGGATGTGCAACTCAAAGGGCAGGATTTCATCTTTTAAGAAATAAATTTATTCAGAAGTAAAACATTACCACCACTCCACATTTTTGTGTTTTAAATTTTTATTGAGAACAGTGGTTATCAGTGAAACATTTTCTTGGCATGACCCATGATGCTTTTATTTTCCAAATCAGGTGGAATGAGGGCTTGCTGTCACCTTAAGATGGTGACATCCTCTGGAATAGTGTGGGGCAAAGCAAGAGACAGTGAGCCAGCTGGTGGACTAGATACACAGTTTCATTGCTTATCATGTTCTCAGCCAGACTAATTCTCCTGTCTTCATTCCTGAGATAAATTTGTCCTTTGAGGATGAAGAATTTTCTCTTAATCCTCTCTTAGAAAGCTCAAAGTAGATGAACTTTCCTTAGAAATTGAAGTATTTTATTTATTTATCATCTTTATGAACTGAGGAGATAATAAATGATGAAAAATGTTTTAACGCTTTATTCTCGCTCAGAAACAATTCTGGTCTTATGAGAAAGTGGAGGGCTGGGGATTTGTTTAGCTGCCACATGAAGTATAGTTGCTCTGTCTTCACCCACCCAGGGACAAAAACAAACACTAGTGAAAAAAGTCCTAAGGCTGATGGCCTGATGTTCCACCATTAAGCTGAATGCTCTTAGCAATTTAAAATTCCTATTTCAAAGAGGTCCTTAAGACTCCTTTGAAAATGGAAAGGCCCATAGTAGTAATTTTAAAATTATTTTGACCAAAACATCCTGGACATCTTACATATAACAAATAAGCAGTGCTGGAAGCTGGAGGGGCCTAGGGACAGAAGAGGGAAGGAGTTGCTAATAGGGCACAATAAGCTTTGTTGTTGTTGTTGTTGTTAACAGTAGTGGAGATTGAACCCAGGGCAAGTGCTATACCATTAAGCTTCTTCCCCAGCCCAAGATAAACTTTTATGCCTTGGGTTCATCCTAACAATAGTCTTAAACTATTCCAGATGTCCACACTTTGCAATCTGGCTGTGCTATCATATAGCTTCACTCCTCATTTTCCCCCAGATCAGGACCTTGGTGGCTCAGTGTTTTGCCCTGACAGTCAAAACAAATTGAATAATACCTACTGGGCAAATTACTACTGTGCTAAAGAAGAAAGAACAACAACAAAGAATTTCCTACTTTTTCCCAATTTCATGAAAATAATTTGGATTGTCACTTTCAGAGCCATTTAGGATCCTGCTTTTCTGATGCTGCTGGAGCCCTGCAAATTAAATGAATTTTTAGTATTGCTGGTCTGGCTAAATTCAAGGTTTTAAAACCACCCTAACTATGCTGCAACTCTGGACTGAAATAATAAAGTGATGTCATTTGAACTAACGAGATGGGGAGGACTTTTCACTAATAATGCCATTGTCTGCCTGGAGATGGGGATTTCAAACTTTTTTCTTTGTTGGTCTGATCACATGTGGAGTTCCATTTAATTTTGCCCTATCAGCCAAAAGCAAGTAAATGAAGATAAAGAAGCTGTTCGTGATATTATCCTTCGCAAAGAAAATCCTTTCCTGGCCCATCAACATGGCAGAGATTCCGAGTCAGAAGATGAAGTTGTGTGTCGACTGCCCGACCTTGAGAAAGACGACTTTGCTGCAAGAAGAGCAAGGACGAACCAAACCAAGCCAGCCGTGCCATTGAATCAGCTCCTCTATGGGCCTTATCGTAAAAAAGACACAGAGAAATCAGATAGCAGCCAACAGCTCTCAAAGGGAATCTCAGAAAAGAAAAATCTAGAATATAACAGGTGTGCACTGTGTGTGTATGTGTGTGTCTACAAAAGAAGGAGAACATAATTAAGCAAAGGCAAGTTGTATCATCGTCCCATCCCTCTTTCTTTCCCCAATTACATGCACCTTGTCATGGTGGATTATTTTGAAGTAGAGCTTCCTATGTCCATCTGAAGGCAGATGGTAAAGAGGAGAGTAGCGATGTCCAAAACAGGACTGAATTTGCCAAATATACCAGCGTGTGGATGTGCATCAGGACACATCACCCCACATGGGTGCTGGTTCATAGACTGGCCTTTCAGAGAACAGCCACAGCTCAAGGCTGCTCCAATCCACTCAAAGGAGGCAGAAAACATAGTTGTTCCCTTGCTGTAAGCTCTTCTCTTTTTAGAAACTTTTCAGTGTTGCAAGGAAAATTAAAAATGAGGCCTGCTCTTTTTTCTCTCACACCAACAAGATTACCTGGACAAATGAGGAGGATATTTCCCAACAAAAAAAGAAAATCTCAAACATAAAATACACTTTTATGTGTCCTATCATGGAAATAGTTTTCAAATGGGTTTCCTTTTCTTTATTTTTCACCCATCATCTTAATACTAGGTAGAGTATTCCTGATCAGAAAATCCAAAACCCCAAATGCTCCAAAATCCAAAACTTTTTGAATGCTGACATGACACTAAAAGTGGAAAATTACCCACCTGATCTCATATGATGGGTCCTAGCCAAAATGCAGGTGCACTGAAATTATTGTATAAAAATTGTTTTCAGGCTCTGTCTACAGGATGTATAGGAAATATAAATGAATTTTGTGTTTAGACTTGGGCTCCATCCCCAAAATATCTCACTATGTAAATACATGCAAAGTATTTCAAGATCTGAAAAAAAAAATCTGAAATCCAAAACACTTCTGGTCTCCAGCATTTTAGAAAAGAGATACTCAATCTGCACATGTTGGAGTGAAATTGGGAAAGGAAAGCAGTATTAAGATGAATTTGGCTAGTCGGGTTTTGTCTTAAGGTATCTGCTTACTGAATTCTATTCTTCAGCATTTATCATGCTTATATTTTTCCTCCTATCAAATCAGAGTAACATCTTCATTATTTTTGTGTCCATCATTTTAGAGGTTTCGAAAGTTGAATGAAGTAAGGATACCATTATCTTAGCTGTGCTTTTTATAATGAAAATGGTTCTTTGTGCAGACTTAGGGAGCTCAATAGAGTAATTAGTATTATTGCTACTGTTGTGTGCTTTCCTAAGGAAGCACCAGATACAAACTCAGGATAGATCCCTGGATGCACAACAGGGATTAGAACAGAGAACACCTGACAGGGAGTTTTCACAGGACACATTATAACTTCAGGAGGCTCTTGACTTGAGCAGTGCCCGTTGGCATGTCTTGTAACAAACCATTCTTGGAGGGCCTTGCAGGGTGGATTAGTTGTTTCAAGTGTAACAGAGACTTTTGGGTAACTGACTAGCATCCAGGCATATTGGTGGTGATCATCCATTTGAGTGAGGGAAAGGAGAGGCCTCTATATCTCCCTTTTTCCTTTCTCCTCCATGCAATTTTAATTCCTGATAGTCCCCACTGCATTTGTCATGGTCACTTGATTCTGTTTGGGGGAACACAGCTCTGGGTCTGGGGCAGATTATGACTTCTCTAGAGAGCATCAGAGAACTGATAAAATAAGTAAATAAAGCCAAGTCCTGGTGGTTCTTTGCTATGCCCTTCCTTGATCCCTTTCCCTAAACTAAAAAATAAGTAGGAAGTTCTATAGCCTTCCTATTTGACCCGGTTCTGCAAATGTACCACATCACATAGGTAACAAAAGAACCTCTTGGATTTCTGGCTTGGATGAATTTCTGTCTTGAAAAAAAACATAGGCCCTGTTTATGTATGTTTTTGAGTTTTTTTTCTATTGCAAGAAGCATATTTAATTAGAAATTTACTTTTAATGTGATAAATGTCACAGTTTGGGTTTAAACGATGGAACTCTCCAGCTAGTGTTCGATTTTTAGCAGAACAATTGAAAATATCAGTTTAGCATCATAAAGGTGAATGATTAATAACAAAAGAAACAAATGAGTATTGGCTCTGTAATCCTAGGCAAAGAGCATGCACTCTGTTCTTCACATTTACAGTAGCCAGCTCTGGCTAATGCTATGCAGCAAATCCCGAGGTCGAACATCGAAACTTTCTGTTCAGAATTCACTTAAATGTACTTTCTGGCAGTTGTGGGTTTACGGTTGAGATGTTTCACATGTGAAAAACTTTCCAGCTATCTACAAACTAATCCTAGAATTTGGATCGTGCAGAGCTCATTACTAACATTTTACTGATGCAGTAAAAAAACATTCCAAGAGAGCTAAGGGATTCAATCAGAAAACTTGAATTCATTACAGTAACTTGAATAGTGTGGGAATTGGGCATCATTACTGTCAAGCTGAAATCTCATTACCATTCTTAATAGTCTTTCAGTGAGCCCTGGCTTCTCTTCCTAGACTAAACTAGAGACTGTCATCTTCTGGAAAAAATTCTGTCTCATTACAGTGTTAAAAGGGCAGTGTAGATGAAAGTAATCACAGCTCCAATTGATTCCACATTTTTGAGACAGGGAAAGGTACTTCTGCCCTCTCACTCTGTCCTCGGCCTCTGTATTTCCATGCTTGACCTTCTGTTTGTCTGCTCCCCTTCTTTGAATCTGATTTTTCCAATGATATGGGGGCCTGGATCAAATTGACAGAAACCAGGGCCAAACAGAAGAGGTGAAGTCGACGGTGACCTGTATTACGCGAGCTCAGGAGAGTGAGCCAGGGGAAGAGGGACTCAGGAAGGTCCCAGACCTGTACAAGGATGACCTGGCCCAGAGGAGAATCCAGGGCAGTCTTGGTCCCCACCGGGAGGTGCCCAGCTTCATCACACTCTCCAGAATTACAGAAGCTGACTTGCAGACATGGGAGCGACTGAAGGTTTCAGAAAAGACGAGGTGTGTCATGTTTTCCTCTGGTCACCCTGCCCCAGCAGCGGTATTACGTAACATTGAGGGGATCGAATGCTTATCCTTGTTTCATTTTTAATGTTGATAGCTGAAAAAAAAAAACTCTCAAAACGTACAGCTTCTAAAAATCTGCTTGTTCTGCATGTGAGACTTACAATACACGAAATTACAGACCACCTCATTAGTATAGCCTCTTTCACCAGCGATTTGCTGTGAATGGTTGTTTTGATAAACATTTTTATCATAAGAAACTTACAACTGATTTTTAAATACTTTGTAATTATTCCACGATGCCTACGATTTTCTTGTGCCATCCTTTATGATGTTAGAATTGCTGTTTTGAAAGCAACAGGAACTTAAAGCACTATTTACTTTCGCGAGACAGTCATTATTTCTTCACCGGGTTGGTTAATGGGAAAGCAATTCTGTCCTAGTCATAGGAATCTTTTTCATATACTTAGTTTTGTATTCTAAGCCTTGTATTGATTTGTACCCCCCCCCTTAGAAACCTTTGGAATTTATTTTTGGTCTGACTAGGGATGGAGATGCTCAGCACATCTGTGTCCCTGAGCCGTCACCTGAAATCAGTGCTGAAACTGCCATCCGCGATGATTTTGCCAGCCGCAAAGCCAGAGCCTACACAAAAACTTCCAGCCCTAGGCAAAAGTTTGTGCACTTTGGGCCTGTGACAGAGATAGATCAGCAGAAATGGAAGAGGCTCAGCATTGGCAAGGCTGGGCCTAGGGAGGGTGTAGAAGAAGTTACCACGCATGGCAGCAAGAGTCAAGCTTACCCCATGTCCCCTGACTCAGCAGCTACTCCCAGCCTAAAGGAAGACCAAAAGCTTAATCCACAAAACGACTGCAGGTATTTTTTTGCCATCACTTTCAGGGATATCTGCATAGAAGTCGCTGCTGCTTTTAAAAAGTTTGTTGGGGCTAGAGGTGTGCAGCATGTGCTGAGTGTGTGCTGCTTAGTGTTCATGAGGCCCTGAGTTCCATCCTCAACACAAGATAAAACAAAAACCATGGAGAGTTTGCTAAAGCACATTACACAAACCCCTAGCGTTTTAATAGATTCTTCTGCAGAATAGCAGAGAAATGATGTTGGGGGTCACCTAGGGGAAAGCATGTGTGTGAGGTTAAATGTCAGGTGTTTGTTTTGATCCTGTTGTCCCCAGAATCACTGCCGGGAATGCCAGGAATCTCCACAAACAACTTTGTCCCTCGGCAGCATTAAGCACCATTTTATTAGTTGAAAATATTGAATGAACTAGGTGGAATGTTTTACTGATATCACTAGTATTTCTTCTAAAGATATATTGATAAAAGTCTTCCCTCTTTTCTGTCCCATGGTTATGAGATAGCTATTAGCATCATGAGCTCAAATTTTGAACATCCAAGTAGACACATTAAAAAAGGAAAAGATCTCTTCCCTTCCCCAAGTTGTTAAATTAGGTAATAAATCCTAAGTGGAAAAGGACTTCTCTTTGAGAGGTTTCTGTAAGTCAAGTGTTTCTCTAAATGAATCACTGCCAGATTCGAGAGGGAACAGCTTGTAGGCCCATCACGTGTTCTCCATCCTCCCTAGAGACCATCCAGCTGTGAATTTCCAAATCTTCTTTTGGGGGTTCAGTTCTGTGGTCTATTCTCCCTTCCATTAAGGAGGTACAAGACATTGCTAGGACTGTGGATTAGCTCCATCCCACCTGCCTGGCCAAGGCCAAGTGAGGTTCTCCATGGTAGGAGAAATTGCTCAAGACATTCTTCTCCATGCTTTGCCCTTGAAATCTGAAGGAAATGGTAGGTGGATCCAGACTGTGGCAACACTATAGAAAAGATCAGGCCGGAGGTATAAATACACCAGGAACACAGTCAGGGCTTCACAGGCTAATAGGGGTCTGAGGTATAAGGGTGGGGTAGAAATTCATGAGAAATGCAACCTCAAGTCCTTGAATGCTGTGGGGGTCATCACTCAATCCCAGGTGACAGGGTCATGCCAGGCTTCCTTGACTTCTCTTGGGTCCTTGCCAGAGCTCACATTCCATTATCTCAGTCTGTTTATATCACCCTTACTAACCTGCCCAAGGGATGACAGCAGCAGACCTAATCCATCTTTCAGTCTCAACACTTTTCATTGCCTCCTTTCCTAACCCTTTTCCTCTTCTCTCTTGCCACTCGTGCTACTTGATTGACAGCAGGATAGTGAATTCTGGCAAAGATGACCATTTCCAAAGAGTCTCGTGGCTGGCTCCTGTGCCAGAGTCTCAGGAAGAGCAGGTCTGCAATTTGGGTGAGTGCCCAAGGAGGACAGAGGAAGGTGAGAAGCAAAGTTCCCTGCCTCCCCAGGAGGGGAAGGATGACAGGTGGGAGCAGGACTCTTACGAAACTCTTTCAAGTAGTAAAACTGTCCTTTTTGGCTCTAGTTACATCCAAAGAGCTACCACAGGATGACAAAGAAGAAAATGGTGGAGTTGATCAAAGGGATTCTGAGAAGCCACAAAAGGCAGAAAGATCAGAGGAGCACAGCCAGCCCCTGTGAGCATCCTGCCTGTGTTCCATGGTGTGCTGCCTCTGCTGTGTGTGGCCAGTGTTGTCCCCAAAACGGCTTAGCATCCCAGTGTGTACTTGGTGACTGATGCAGCAGGCAGTACAGTCCCTTAAAAGAATGTGTCCATCCCAGTACCAGAGTTCTGCTTCTTGTGCTCACTCTGGGTAAAGATTTTAGCTTTTGCATGTGACTGGGGACTGGCTGAGTATCATTCTCAGCAGACATGAAGCAGAGAGGGAACATTTCCCACGTGAGTGCTGGCTGCATGATACAGACTCTTTGAATTTAAAAGGGGGATTTCCTACCCAGCTGCTCTGTGAGCTTCTGCCTCCATGGATGTTGGCTTCTTGATTAATGCCAGTGAGTGATGCCACTGAATACCTTTAGCCATTAGTAGGACTGAATGTCGCCCTAGAGCCTGCCTTCTGGCCTCTGAATGGGAGACTTCAGAGACAAAAGAGAAGTCAGAGAAGATGACAGCTCCTCCCTGGAGTGGCAGTGGACTGAAAGACCAAAGCAAGGTGTCTGATTCACAAAAAGATGACATGATGACAAGGAGAACTGGGATGTCCCCTAGACACCCTGGATCCAGCCCAAACCAGTTCCTTCCAGTTCCATTTGCAAAGAAACAGGATGTGGAAGAACCTGCAAAGGGTCTGCCCCTGAATGATCCAAGGTCAGCAGGTTCTCCTGTGCCCTTGTGACTTCGATTCTCCAGTGTGAGCCTTGGTACATGCTTTAGCTATTTTATTAATGCCTTGTGCATCAAAGCCACTTACATGCTCTTGCCAGAAGAGGTGGAATGATTCAAATTGGCCCTGTCTACCAAGAATTGTTTGTCTTTTTTTGCATGTGTGCAGGTGTGTGGAAAGAATAGTTGAGTAGTGACTTTACCTGTTAAACATGCTTCCTGATTTTCATTAGATGGGCAGAATAAACAGGAACTCTTATTTTATTCTTACAGAGGAGTCTTCAGGTAAAGGGGCTGAAGCTCTTTCCATCCTACTTGATTTGACTCTGACTGTAGGCCAAAGAAGATGAATACCACTTATAAAATTTGTAATTTAATTTTTTAACATTAGCAAACATTTATTGCCTTCTAGAGGTTGGATTTCTATTCCATGCTCTAATTTGATTTAAGAAGAAGAGTAGGGAAATAATAATCCTGGAATTCAAGGTCCTATATATTGAATCCTCTGTTGCCATTTAATAAGAATGATATATTTTTTGTTAAAAGTGTGATCTCCCTGACCAGTATATGGTAAAGGAGTGGGGAGTGTTTTGCACAAGTATGAGCTCACCAGTATATGGTAAAGGAGTGGGGAGTGTTTTGCACAAGTATAAAACAAGAAGTGGTGGGTTCCACTTCTCAAAGGATCGTGTTGGCAGTGGGCCAAAGTGTAGTGAGGCAGCAGAGAGAGTATTAAGTAATTTCAAAATTTTAAAATCAGTATCATAGTCATCAAGTGACTAGAAAAGAGGGTAGAAACCTGAGGAATTCAGCATTGCTTCCATCTATCACTCTGTGATTCTGAAAGAATTCTTTATATTCAAATGGGAATGAATTGTGAGTTTGAAGGTAGGAAGGTATAGTTAGATTAACTATGTGACATGCTTCTGTGATGGAACCAGTGTGCACCTTGGGAATGTTTTCTTTCAACAAATATTTATTGAGTAATTACTATGTGCTGAACACTGGGTGGGGTGCTGGAGAATAATCCTAGATGAGCAGTAAAACTATCTCCCCCCTCACTTCAAGATAATGCTAATTTTTCAGTATACAAACATATCACCCACTAATTATTGGTTCCAAGATGCTTTGTTAGTGCTGAAAGTTACATAAATGTAGAAAGCACAGAGATTATTCCCTATGTCTTTCTAAATACCCCTATACCCTCAAAATTTATTGACTTCTTTGAGAAGGTTGGATGTTTATGCCAACTGTGACCTGTCACCATTTCCCATTTGTACACCATGGCTTATTGAATCACCTACTTTGCATTTTAAAAATCTCCTTATTAGTGATTTTTTTTGGGGGGGTTACTTAGCTTTACTTTTTGATCTTCTGTAGGACAACTGAGAAAACCATTTGAAACCCAAGCTCTAATTGTCTTTTCTCTACCAGCAAAGGCAATTCTGCTTAAGTCTGTGCCCCTTTAAAGCTAATAAATTAGTCTGAGAGGAAATTCCTTAAATCCACAAGTGCACAGTAAAGGAATAAAACAAAGTTATCTTCAGAGCTGTGCTGTTCTTTTCAATTTCCACAGCCTCCAATAATTACTCAATAAATACTTATTGAGGGCCTTTGGTCCTATTCAGAGAACCTAAACAGAAAGATTCTTGCCCTTTGAAATTTAGATCTCAGTGTAAATCATTCTTTGTTGGCAGAGAAGTTCTTGAAATGCTGCGAATTATTTTGTGTAGAAACAATTTAATTTCAGATACATCCTACATGCAACATAGCGGAGCCTCAGAAACAAAATGTTGTGCTAGAGAAGTAAAACTCAGGAGTACATGCTGTGAGTCCCTTCATATAGGACAAAACACTCTACAGTAATCTATGGGTGTGTTCAGTTTGTGGATATCCATTAATATTCATTGTATATATATTAAGCATCATTAAATGCTAATAAATTATCCAGAGACAAAGCACATAACTATTAATAGATTATTTCTCCATTAGCCATCCATTAGAAATAGTTTCTCTGCTCTCTCCAAAGATAATTTAGGAAACACAGTATTTGAATAAACATATTCTGACAGCCCTTCTTATCAACTGGGACACATCTGTGCAGTCTTTAGAATCCAGAGTGCTCATGAACTTTCTCTTGAAGTGGAAGGATCCTCCTGCTTCAAGTAGTGGTGTTTTGGGATCATTCAGAATGTTAGGTTTAACTTTAGCATCTTTTAAAACTATCCCTGGAGAAACGGAATATGAGTCTTACACTGCCAGAAGTAAAACATTCACAAACTTTTTCTTTGCCTTGCCTTTGGCCATTTCAACAGAGATTTGGGGTTTTGTGCTGGTATGATGGTCTTCACTGTCAATGAAATAATATCAACTGCAGAGTTCTAGAATGATAAAAGTTTAAGAGAAAAGGGTATTTTTATGCATGCACCCAAGCATTGCAGAGTATTTTCTCTAATATTATAAAAGGAAACCTTTAGAAATTACCTTTTTCCTTTAAGCTGTTATGGAACCAGGTAATTTTTTTTTTCTGTCAACCCCAAAATGTAATTGCTCATAAACATAGAAGCAGAACATATTTTCTTTACTGCAAAAAATTCTTCGTCCACCATCAGAAGTGAGCAGGCTTTCAGAGTAATGGTAAGTACTGTTCCTTAAAATGCACCTTTGCTAAAGGGATCATCATTTGTGGGAGCTGCTTTCTCAAAAACGTGTTTAAAATATGCCTGTGATGTTCTAATTGTCTAACTTGATCTTTTTCTTTGCTTTGTCAAACACATTTAGACTTAAAATGACTGTCACAGAGGGTACAACTTTATAGATCTAAATTATTGGAAGAATATAAGAGATTGGGGAAAACTGTTTTTTCCAGTTACAGAATATCATCCAAGTCTGGTTTTGATTAAGGCTACCGGTTTTCTAGGAATTGTGGTTTTTGTCAAATGCATGCGGAAGGCACTGATTGGGGTTCTGGTTGGAGTTCTGGTTTGCTTTCAGAAAACTGCAGAAACGCTCTTTGATATCCACTTGTGCAAATGCATTAACACATCAGGGACAGGGTCAGTGAGGGTGTGCTTGTACATTGGGTGTCCATTTCAGCCCATTACTGCCAAACATAAAAGCATGAACACTTGGACTCTGAATGGCCACAATACATGTTTGTCTGTGTTTTAATCTGCCTTCTCTAAACATCGTGTGCTACACCTAAGCCTCTTTGTGTTTATATTGAACAGATCCTTTCTTTGTGTGTAGCATGGGATTATTTTCAATTCTTCTCTGGGTTTTAGTACAAATTTTGCATTCTGTAGAAGCATCGAGACTTCTCTTTGATTTTTCAGCAGTAAATGAATATTGCTAATTGTATAATAACACTTCTCTTCCAGTATGATCAGCGAAAAAGGTTTGGCACATATGTACTTCCCCAGCAGTTTTATTTTCAGCTTGGTTTCAGCATTAACTTTCTGCCTTGCCGGTCCTCTAATTTTGTATTTGGTCTTGTAGATACGGTCCGAGAACTCCTGTGTCAGATGACGCAGAGTAAGTGGTCTTGTATTCGTAGGATTACATTAATTGCTAGCCTAAAATGCATGCTTCCAGTACTTACCACTAATTGAAATGCAACTGATACCACAGTGAACTGAATAGTTAACTCACTCGTGGAGCAAAGCACTTGACGTTGGAATGCAGAACATATGTTCTGAGCAGAAAAGATGAATGAAAAAGCAACTTAAGCATGATTCTAATATGCAGCTGCTGCTTGAAACTTAACATTTGCTTTTCATAGACTGGGCATGTTAAAGTTGTTCTCTGTTAGTGTGGTACCCCTTCTGAACCACGGAATTACTAAAAGTTTTCTGAGTTTTTGCATTTGATTTTTAATATGTTGGAGCTTAGAGTTAACAATGAAGTAGTCATTCCTCTAGTCACATTTTTTTCAAACTAAGAAAATAAATCTTCAACCACTAATTATACATTCAGAAGCCCAAGTTCCTCCCAGGTTGGAGTCATATAAACTGTGGCATGCATGAGACCAAAACATTGGGGTTTTGTTCAAGTTCCGTGGCATAGCAAGGGGTCAAGGACGTAAAACATGACTTGGGGCTTCCTCTCCCTGCTACGGGCTTTTCACTCTTCTGGGAGATTCGTTCTCCATCCCACACCTTCCATTCAAATTTGACAAGAATCCACATCCTCCCATTTGTGACCACATTAACTCTGTTTCAAAATGGCTTTCCCAGATGCAGATCATTCTGCCACCAATAACCAAGGCAAAATGTTTTCTCAGCAGAATACCAGCCTTTTCATATTTGAGTAATTCATGTCTTAAGAAACATGATTGATATCTAATTCCATCATCAGTAGTCTGCTGACCCTGACCTCCCTCCTCTCCACAAGAGGCACTGTGTGGCGTGCAGGGAGGTCAGGCCATTGGAAGAGTGAACACCAGCCTTCTTTCTGTCTGCTCTCCTTGAAACTATGAGCCATAGTTTCAAGTCACAGACTGAGGCATTTGAATAAGGGTTTAGAATATACAATTATCATTTCCACTGATGATGATGAGATTAGGCAGAGAGAGAGAGAGAGAGAGAGAGAGAGAGAGAGAGAGAGAGAGATTTCACACTGTATTTTTCCATGTGTGTGTTCAAGATGCTTGCTTAGCCCTGTTAGCCCTGAGCTGCCGTACTCCATTGCCAAGTTTCCATGTATGACTTGACTAGTTACCTGCCATCCAGAAATTTGTTTTTGACATACCTCAAAACCCAATTCAGCCTGCACTTGACTGACTGCACGGAGTTAAGCAGTCTGTAAAACTGAGCCCTGGTTATTACTTTTAAAACCTGCAGTGGCAATATTTAACATTCATTGAAAGGAGGATTATATAAGATTGATAGGCAAAATACTACTTTGACACTTGGTGAGCAAAAACATTTTGATAGAATGGATTTTTTTTTTTCTTCATTGATGCAAAGCTCTCATGCAATTTGCTTAAAATAGATCTCGGGGAAGCCCTACAAGGTAAAAGAAAGGAAGCTACATTCAAGAGTTTTTGGATTCTGTCTATACCTGAACATGAAATCTCACACACAGAAAAAAGTTAATAGTTTTTAGGGGTGTGGATGGGGCTTCCCTTCTCTCCCTAAGTTTGTAAAACCAACCCCATGGACCAAGAAGAATTAAAGGAACTTATTTCCCAGAGGTCTCACCTGGGAATAGCCAAAGTGCCAAATTTCCTGCTTGAAATAGACACAACTTACAAGAATGTGGTGGGAGGAAGAAAAGATGACTTAAGGAGTTAAGTTTTTAAATAGAAATATATACTATTTTTAGTTTATTCCCTCCTCCTTCCTCTTCCAGAATTTTTAAAGGCAATTATCAGCACAGATTATATTTATTAGCAATTGACACATTCTTAAACTACAGCCCAATCAAAAAAAGATGTGCCCTTGAAGGAGAATGTGGGTCAGGGGCAGACCTACCATGCAGGCAAAGGGAGAAATTTCCGCCTCTGTAGAATGTTTCTGTAGATTTAATTTCACCTTCTTGCCCCTCTCCTCTCTTGTACATTCTTCTCTCCCAACACTCTCCCTCCCAAAGAAATCTGCACCTTGGGGGAGTCAGGGGCCATTTGAGTCTGAATTCTCTTACCTTAGACTTGGCCCAGAAATAATTTCTAGGTTCCCCTTGAGGAAATTTGATCTCATTCTTCAAAAATGCCAACCCACCCCCAAGAAAGAGTCCTGAGCTCTGCAGGGAGACCTTTGTCCCAACAGCCAACAGCATAGGTTTTGGTGGCCAAGAAACAGAGATTTAGTCCAAGTCACATTAATATTCTGGAAACTGGGCTCCCCCTACCACCCCTACCCCAACCCTTCTTCAGACTGGCACTTCTTCATTTGGGAGGCCACATCCAACCTCTGAACTAGGGTATGTTTTCTGAATGGTGACTCAGCCCACTTTCTATCTAATATTGCCAATTCTCAACTTTCTCAGTTCATTTTTTTTTATTATTGAAATGACATGAAGATATTACACATTTAAAAAAGGAAGGACAAACTTGGGGGGAAAGCAGTATTTCCTGGTATAAGAGAGAACAAACAGAGTTTCTCTTTTTATTTAGGTCGCCAGCTTTTGAGCACATTTGGGCTCAGGTAGTCAGAGCTTCAGTGTGTGAGCAGAGATGGAAGCTCAGGTCAGAGGAAGGCAATTCTTAAAGACCTGCTCCCATATTCTCAATTCCCTTTGAGTGACAGAGCCAAATCCTGGATCCTGGAGAAGGCTGCCATTTTCTTCCTAGGGTACCAGAAGATGACCTGCTCTCTGGCCACCCACTGTGGCCTAAAACAAAATTCTGCTCTTTAGAGATTAGAGGTGATGAACAGAAAAAAGAAAGAAGAAGAAATTAGAGGTGACAAAGTTGAAAGAAGGGGCCTCCTCTCTCTCTCTCTCCCACAATCTGTTAGCTACTCCATGGATTCCAAGAGGATCCTGACTGAGGAACATTTAGGTCTTCTAAGATTTTAGCAAAGATTTTAGCAATTACCTTAAGAGATAACCAACTGGATTGAATGTTTTAAAAGTAAGATTTTTTTTTTCTTCTTTTAATTGTGAGAGGAATTTCAGGGAATTTTCAGTCTCTTTCTGGAAAACCGGCTTACGAAAATTTTGATCATGAAGTTTAAAAAATGTATGCATTTTTTTAATACCTGACCCTGTAAGTTTCTAGGTCTTTATTAAACAACATTAATAAATAGTCCCAAAATAGGAAAATAAAAAGCATAGTCTTTCTTCTCTTTTGAGGACTAGAGTTTATTTTTCTGGAAGGCTCAGCCACTGAAATCAACACCATCCACAGAGTCAGTGAGAGCAGCTTCACCTGGTGCTTTGCCATCTCTGTGCTCATAAACCTCCGTAGAAGTCCTTCAGTGCAGTCGGATTACTAGAATACTCTGGAGAAAGACAGAAAAAGGACAGTCTTCAGAGTTAGTTCTCTCAGGTCAGACTTAAGTTGCCCCCCACCTGGAGAGAGGGGAGAGTACTGACCATTCTTGCAGCTTCATTATGAATGGACTGAAATGAGGGTGGGGGCAGCCGTGGCCGTGGGCTTGTCTTCTCCCTCTAGTGAGCTGCCTGTTGAGGATCTCCTTGCATCCATCCCACAAAGCTGCCTGCTGCTGCTGTTGAGTGACTGGTTGCAGGGTAATGATTTTGGACATCACTGCTGATGTCTGGAACTAGCTGACGTCTAAGTGCATGGCTTTTCTTTTTCCATATGTTCAGCTGGCTTCAAAAATGGACTTAACCGTCTTCTGTACCTTATGGTTAACAGTGAACTTTTAAGGGCCCTCCATTTCTTGATTTTTTTTGGATTCTTCCAGAGCTAGTCATTTCTTTGAAAGAAAAAAAAAAAAAAAAAAGAACAAACCAAAGAGGAGGATTTTGCATTGGTTGCTATTTCTGTGTTCTTGCTGCTTCAGCTTTTGCTGTAACAGAGGTTTACGTGATCATCAGAGAAAAGGCCCTCTGGTCTTGCCCAACATTTAATAAGCTCCTATAGAACATAGCAATTGTATGCAAAATCTAAGGGATTTTTAAAAATTACTTTCCCTAGCCTTTTTCTTTTAAAAGAATCAATTCGGCCAGGCATGGTGGTGCATGCCTGTAATCCCAGCTACTCAGAAGGTGGAAGCAGGAGGATCACAGTTTTGAGACTAGCCTGGGCAACTTAGCAAGACCCTGTCTATAAATAAAAAGGGTTGAGGGTGTAGCTCAGTGGTAGAGCACCTCTGGGTTTAATCCCTACTACGATGAAAAATTAAAATAAAAGTAAAGTAAAATCAGAGGTATCCTAAAAAAATAAAACTACTATGAATATATTAGGATGCAAAGTATATACTGATTTATATATTTTATTCTTTAGTCGATCATAAAATACCTTACTTTCTTGATTCTAAGATGCCTTCAATTACCATTTTATAGAAAATAAAAAAGAAACACATCAATTCGTGGTTGTTGAATGCACGTAAAATAAAATTGGAAAAATCGAGTGTCTTAAACCTGAGATCATCTGAATTTTTTTTTTTAATGAAGAAATTGCCTTCATTCACATAGAAAGCACTTAAGCCAACTCTTTTCACAAAGAAGCATTGACTGCAATACAGCCCCACTTCGTGGCACAGTGCACTCCTCCCCACAAATTCTCCCCATGTTATATGTGGTTTAATTCTCATCGTATTTTTAGAATATATTTCCAAATGAGAGGAGCCCAGAGCTTCAAATGCCTTTTTCGAGCTCTTCCTTGGCACCTACTTGTCAAATGACCCGATTCGGTGCCATCACTGAAGACAAAGACGGTCCCATTTTGGCTTTTGCGCAGGGGGAACGGTGGCAAGCACGTCCCCGGCGGCGGCTGGGAAAGAAGCGGCGTCGGGGCGGTAGCGCCCCCACGCGGCGGAGCGCGGCAGCGCGTGCGGAGCCGAGGCGGGCGCTGACGGCGCTGGGTTTTTGTTTTTGCTGTCTCGGCCCTCAGGAGCACGAGTATGTTTGACATGCGGTGTGAGGAGGAGGCCGCGGTGCTGCCGCACAGCAGGGCCCGCCAGGAGCAGCTGCAGCTGATAAATAACCAGCTGAGGGAAGAGGACGACAAATGGCAAGATGTGAGTTTCGGCCAAGGCCGTGCGTGCGAGCAGGCAGCGGGGAGGCTACTCACTGCAGAAAATCCAGCGGGTGGGTAGCCTTGGACTTGGAATACCTGCTGGGGAAGGGAGCCCCAGAGGATTCCCAGGGGCAATACCGTAAGCGTGAGGGTTAAAGGATGGGTAAATAGCATAAAGAAGAGTGCCCATAGCCACAGGTGCCCTGGCCAAAAGCCTGGCCAGAAAGGAGAGAGGAGCCCGAGGCGGGCAACTGGAATGGGATGCAGGATTGAAGATGCTCTGTCTTTTGAGGTTCTAAATTGGAGGAGGAGGAGGATGGCAGCAACAACAACTGCCAACATTGGAAGTGTACCAGTAGCAGGCAGTGTTCTAAGGGCTTCACATGTGATGATCCACTCAGTCCTTTTAGGAACTCAATGCACTTCCAACTATTATCATTCCCTCTTCCACAGAAAAGCCCAGCCCTGCTAACTCATTTGCCCAAAGTCACACAGCTAGTGAATGGAGGAGTCCGGATTCCAATCAGGGAAGGGAGGGGGAAGAGGATGAGAGGGCTTTAAGATTGATTATGTGCTGAGAGCAAAGAGCCAAAGCCAGCAAATGGTTTGAGGTTAGGGATGAGAGGAGGGATAGGGGATCGTTTTGTTTAATTCTCACATGGCACTCTGAGGTAGCTGTTGCAAATGTGACTGTACCATTAATCAAAGTGATTAACTTCTCTAAAGTTGTTGAAATGTAGTAACAACTGAATCTGCAAATACATTGAGCCTATGTGCCTAGTGCCTTACCTGTATTATCCCATTTAACCCAATAGACCTGTAAGCAGAGGTGTCCTTATCCCCATTGTAGAGATACTGAAGCTGAGATACATGCCCAAGATTCAAAAGCATGGAAAAGCTAGAGCTGGGTTATTTCCCCTAGCCACAATCCCATCTGTCTGACCCCAGAGTCCTCACTCTTCATTATGCTATAACTACCTGTAGAATTTGTGATAAGGTTGGTCTAAGGATTCAGTTAACTAATACATATAGAATCGCCAGAGCTGTAAGACTCCGAAGCCAATATTTTTTTCTGCCTTTATTTCCTTCCATTAAGAAATTGTATAAATTAATCTCTACCATTTAATTGTCAGAGATCTAGTCACAATGCAGAGATCATAAATAGGAAGAAATAAAGTTTCTCACAGTTATCTGGTGAGGCATGCTGTATGTGGCAAATGACATAAAATACGATTGCATATTTCACACTGACATGTTTAAATAAATGTGCTGTCCTGCTCTGGACAGTACAGATAATGTGGGAATATTTCCTGTCTTCCTACCAGACTTACAGTGGAGTGTGTGGGGCTGGCCTTGCCTAGAGCCAAGTCTGGCATCAGTGCTCACTAAACTCTAAATTGTAGAAAAGGAATTCTGTGCAAGCTGAAGAAGAGTATTATCTCTCCCCCCCCCAGGACCTGGCTCGTTGGAAGAGTCGTAGAAGAAGTGCCTCTCAGGACTTGATCAAGAAAGAGGAAGAAAGGAAAAAAATGGAGAAGTTACTAGCTGGAGAGGATGGGACAAGTGAACGAAGGAAAAGCATCAAAACCTACAGAGAAATTGTTCAAGAAAAGTGGGTTCTTTCTGTTGATATTTTTCAATGTACAACATTATCTTTTGCTAAAATATGTCGGTGATTATGAAAGTTCTAACACCTTGAGTTGATACTCTTGGTTTTACTCTACTTTGGTTTCTCCCAAGGTCTTCTTTGCAATTGTCATGACTGTTGCCTTTCTTGTTTCGCCCCTCCCATCTCCCACACCCACCCTCTAGAGAGCGGAGAGAGAGAGAATTGCACGAGGCATATAAGAATGCACGGTCCCAGGAGGAGGCAGAAGGGATCCTTCAGCAGTACATCGAGAGGTTCACCATCAGTGAGGCTGTTCTCGAACGCTTGGAGATGCCAAAAATTCTGGAAAGAAGCCATTCAACAGAGCCAAACTTCTCCTCCTTCCCAAATGACCCAAACCCTATGAAATACCTGCGGCAACAGTCACTGCCTCCACCCAAATTCACTGCCACCGTTGAAACCACCATTACTCGTGCTAGTGTTCTGGACACCAGCACGTCAGCTGGCAGTGGATCTCCAAGCAAAACTGTCACTCCCAAAGCAGTGCCTATGCTGACACCCAAGCCTTACTCCCAGCCCAAAAACTCTCAGGAGGTTCTGAAGACCTTTAAGGTAGGACCAGTTACTTAAGAGTGGAACCAAAACTGAACTCTAGGTAGTCAATGGAGAGAGATAAGCATCCTGACTCAAGAAAATGGAGTTGTTTTTATCAAACAAAAGCCAAATGTATTAATATTTATAACTGTTCATGTGTGGGCCTCGGGGATTTGGTTGGCATATACTTAAGGGGTAGATGTTCCTCTTATTTACCATGGTTAGTGTCAGTGAACTTCAGTGAAATTGATAGTTGAGTCATCTCCATGAGCAAGGTCTGTTTTCTGGTTTGATTTAAAGGCATGATCTCTTTCTAGAGAGTGGAAACAAATCCTAATGTATTAATAATCTAGTAACTCCAGCTACCTAGAGTATCACAGACTCCTCAAAATTTGCTTTTGGTTTAAATAAAAATATATACAACTATATCTCCTTTAGGAAGAAATTCAAATCATGTTCAAAAAGATGCTACATTTGGAAAAAAAAATGCGTGGAACACATGGGAACATGGGATCTATTTGGTCCTCAAATGAGACAGTGTTTTCATTGAGTGGAAAAAGCTAGATTGTTTTACAGTGAATGTATAAAATAATCTTCCAGAACCAAAGAACCTATGACAACCAAACGTCTTCTCACTTCTTCAGATGCCAGTACTTTCCCTCATATTATGAGGAAGCACTCATCTTTTGTCTTAAGTTATTTTGACCTCAAAGAAAAATAAGTTCCCCTTGTCCCTTTACACCAGTGAGTTCATAATAGAACACAAAGGTGGAATTCATCACTAGGAGATTGACTATTATGACAGTAGAAAAGTTTGTGGAACTCAACTGATTGGGCCATATAATGCCATGTGTCTTCGTCATTGCATGTCCAAGGGATGTTTCTTACTTTGCTTAAGTAACTCTGAATCTTAAAAATCTATGCCTTAGGCTTTGCTAGATCAAAAGAAAAATGCCCCCCGCTGTCTCATCTGGATCAAATTGAGATGTTTATTCCTTTCAAGGCTGCGTCTGTGTCTTCTTTATTCATAGCTTCATCCTGAGAGCTTGGCATTGGTGCCCAGGACACAGTGGGCACTCGGCAAATGTATAGTGAATAAATAAATAAAATTTTCTGGATAAGATGAGCTATGAATCTTGCAGACTCACACACACACACACACACACACACACACACACACACACCTGCACACATGCTCTTGTGGTCCACCTGAGTATTTGAGTTCTTTCCTTCACCTGGGGCCCAAGGCAATGGTCTATGACATTCCATGACAGAATCTTTCATACTGAGGCAGCCACGACAGGGGTAGGGAATACATTTATTTAATTGGGTATCTGTGATGTCACATATCATTTAGATGTTCACTTCCCTTCCTTTATATGAATAATGTCATGTGATCATTTAAACAGAAGAGTGATGATAGATGACTTTTATGGCACAACTCGGGCTCTGAGTAGACCTGTCCTTTACCACTGGAGCTAAATGGTGCTGAGTCCTCAGACAGCATCGGGAGGGGTGCATTGTGTACCTGAATAGAGGTCTCAAAACTGATGTTCACTCTCAGCCACTCACTAATATCTGTCCCCTGGACTCATCATTGGCCTTGATGGCTGTCACCCCTAATGATAGCCTACAGTTCCATCACTGGGTGGGTGGATGGCAATAGTGGCCAAAGGTAATGAACACAGAACAGTTCTTACTAGGAAATATCAGGAGGGAAACCAAGGGAAGCATATATTGGGAAAGCCATCCTCTTGGGAAGAAGAAGACAGAATCACAGATCAGTTGTTTCCCCAGTACAACAAGATTAAAAATAAAGAACCTGGCCTGGTGGTGCACACTGCAGTCCCAGCTACTCAGGAGGCTGAGGCAGGAGGATCACTTGAGCCTGGAGTTCAGGGCCAGCCTGGGCAATATAGCAAGACTCCCATCTTAAAAAATACATAAATATAAAATAAACTAATAAAATAAAAATCTGCATTCTATTTTTAAAAGTAAAGGAAGATCAAGTGAAATAGTTTAAGCCAGTATTTTTTAAATTTAGAGTTGCTACCTATTGTTAGATTATTATATCAATTTAGTGGTTAGGAATCAGCATATTTTAAATGATAAAATACATTACAAAATGGATAAAATACATTACAAAAATTAGCATAGTGATCACACACAATATAAGAAAATATTGCTTTGAGAAACTTCTGTTTCCACATTTATACATAGGTGCTGAGTTGTAATTTAAATTTCTTTTTTTAAATGAGTATCACATAATAGAGTATGAAAGCCAGTGGCGTAAGGTAAATAAACTATGATTAATGTCTGGACTCCCATTATCTCTTTTTTAAGATTTTAGAAGGCCTACCAGCAATAATGGCTAATAAATAGTTCTTAAAATGGTCAGGTACTGTTCTAAACTCTGTTCACATATTAACCTCTTCCCCTAACAATATAATCTTCATAACACTACTACAATGGAGATACTGTCATGTTCACTTTTGTGTTGAGTGCAGAGGGTAAGAAATTTGCTAGAGAGTCCATGGCTGCTGAGAGGTAGAGTCAGGATTCCCTCTTAAGTCATCTGACTTCAGAGCTTATTCATAACCACAGTACAGTCTGCCTCAAACTTCAAGATAGAGATTTCTAGATGTCTTTTTATAAGCAAGGCTAACCACCCTGTCTGCTCCTCCTTCTTGCTCTCACTGTCTCCCTAAGATGTGAGTACAAAATTTAAAAAAAAAAATGCTTTAACATACATGATCTTCTTTTCTTGCAAAAATTGGGGTTGTAAAACCAACTAGAAAAGGGATGTATTGCAATGTGCTGTAGTATCAGATCCCCTGCCCTCCACAATAGCTTCAGAAAAAGGACCCATACACCATGAGAACCTGTAGAGTATTCCTTATCTGAGGTAGGTTTCACCTAATTTATATTCTAACCAGAAAAAAAAGTCCAAATTATAAATAGCAGTGATAACTTAATGAAAAAATTACTAGAACCCAAATAGGTGGCACATGTTTGTGTTAAGATTCTTTGGTTTTCTATACTTTAAAATAAAAACACACCGTACATCAGGTGAGCATAAAATGTAATCTAATAGTAAAGTCGCCTGAGAAGACTGACAATCTTTTAAAAAGCCCTTAAGGATGGCATTTATAGCCAGGTGCACACCTGTTATCCCAGCAACTTGGGAGACTGAGGCAGGAAGATCACAAGTTCAAAGCCAGCCTGGGCAACTTAGTGAGATCCTATCTCAAAATAAAAAATAAAAAGGATTGGGAGAGTAGCTCTGTGGTAAAGTCCTCCTGAGTTCAATCCCCAGAACTGGTGGTGGTGTGTGGAGGAGAGATGTCATTTATAAAAACCCTAGCTTCTAGAACCAATGAAAACGTTTGAGAAACCTTATTTTATTTTGGGTTCTGATTAATCACTGATGGTTCTTTAAGGCAATTCTGAATGTATTATATTGTTGTCGTCTTTGGTTGGGGAACAGCAGTTTTGTTTTGTTGTGGATTTATAGGTAGATGGGAAAATCAGCATGAATGGAGAGACGGTCCATGGAGATGAGGAGGAGAAGGAAAAAGAGGGGCCCACAGGAGCACCTGCCCCCACCCTAACCAAATCCCAGATGTTTGAAGGTGTGGCCAGAGTCCATGGGTCCCCTGTGGAGGTGAAACATGACAACAATAGCATTGAGATTAACATCAAGAAGCCAAATTCTGTTCCTCAGCAACTGGTGGTAAGAATGGATTTTTTTCTCTCTCTTTGGTGTAATTCTGTTATAGATGAACCCATCTTTTAAAATAAGCAGTTTCTGATAATGATCATTTCTTCCTACTTGGGTATATTCATTTGCTAGAGCTGCCATTACAAAGTACCACAAACTGGGGGACTTAAATGATAGAAATTAACTATTTCACAGTCCTAGTGTCTAGAAGTCCAAAATCCAGGTGTTGGCAGGGCTGATTCCTTCTGGTGGCTGTGAGGGAGAATCTGTTGGGTTGCTCTCTCCTAGCTCCTGGTGGCTTCTGCAAGTCTTGACATTCCTTGGCATGTAAACACGTCATCCTGGTCTCTGCCTCTATCTTCCCATGCTCTTCTCCCTGTGCACATGACTTTTCCCTGTTTCATAAGGGCCCCTACTCCAGTATGATCTCGTCTTCACCAATTACACCTGCAACAACCCTAACAAATAAGGTCACATTCTGAGGTACTAGGAGTCAGGACTTCCACATAAGGAATTGGGAAGACACAATTCAATCCATAACAATGAAACTGTTTTCTTAGCTTCAGATTATTGGTGTCCAATGGTATGGAAAAATAAATCAGTCTCTAAAATGCCCCTTTTCCCCTGTTGGTTTAGGATTTCAGTAGACTTACTACATTTTGGAAAACAAATAAACAAACTGGTGCTATCAGAGCTTGACTTTCCATTTTTTATTATATATATTAAAGGATCTTTTTCTTTTTAGTTAAAAAGGGCAAAAATTTATTAAAAATATACTATTTTTAATTAACTTAACCCTTTAAATTCAGAGTAACTTAAAGCACTGGAATACTATTGATACCAAGCGAAAATAGGTAAGGCAATTTAGTAGTAGATAAGAGAACTCAAAATAACATTATATTTTCCACTTTGGATAAGAAACATCATCAGGAAGATGACACTTGCTTAGCTCACTTACTTCTCTCACCCAAAAGGCTCAAACTGGTTTAACTGATCAAGGCAAAACTGTCACTGCCACAGGATACAGACTTCAATCCACTTGTCCTCACCAGAGGCTGAGTTTCTGCTCTGCACTGAATCTTATTTTTGCTTATCTCTGGGCTTTGTTCTTTGAAGAATAAAATCATATCTTTCTTGGAGGAGTGGAAAGGACATAATTCTTTTTCACAGCACTCAAAACTCTACAAAAAAGATTCAGATGGGAAGACACCCAAATCATGTCCCTATCACCAGAGCATGCTTCCTGGTCTCCAAGAGCAAAGTTCAGCGACCCAGGCAAGTGCCAAGTCTGTCAACCTGGACTGTAATTTCACTTTATGTTTGCATAAATATAACTTCTGAAGAAGTCTTAGGAGTTATCATGAAATGGAACATCAAGTTCTAGCAGCATGGGAACTTAACTGATGGAGTAGACATTAATTTATGCTCTTAAATTGTAACTAGAAGCCCCCAAATTAATTAGACATTATAGGGGTGAGATTATTTTTCTAAGACAGTAATTCTGCTCTTATTTCCCTTTTGCCACATTTTTGAGCTTTTTTCTAAATTTCCTTCAGTAAAAAGTTTTTATGGTGGCTACATATCCCCCCAAATACCTTACTTTAAGAGAAACTAAATTCTATGATCTGAAAGAAATTATGTTATTTCAGAAGTTCATACTTATCAAAACCAGAACTCCCAAGAAAAGGTGGCCTTATGGGTTTTTCCCCTGGGAACCACCCAGATCCTAGTTAGACTCAGGACATAGGTCCAAATTCCTAGAAAAGCCTGGTAGTTTCTTGGAGAAATTGAATAGTTCCAAGTAATCTCTAGTTCAGTAAACCCTTGTGGTTCTGAATACCTAGTGACATTATATATCCTCTTTCTAGTTCTGTAGGCTCTTTAACAATGGCAGGAGCTGGTACATTGTTTCTGGGGCAGGTAACCATTTGTATACACCTATCAGACTATAAGGAAAGTTTTTAGCTATGCTACATGGAACTTTGTCTCATTAATAAGACACTCTTCATCCTCACTTGCAATTTAGGACACCAAAAGTTTTCGACTCTGAGTGCGTCATCCCAAGGGTCATTTTAAAAGAATCCCTTTTCCAGTAGACCTGCTCATCTTACTTCCATCTTTCTTGTTCCAAGGAGCACTCTCCTTGACTTTGTTACTGCCAGTATCTTCCTGTTGTAAAGTGGAAAGAATTGATCGTGATAAAATATGGCGTCCAGCTTGAAACAGGAGTCTGTGCTTCAGAGCCTCCCAGAGATTGATACCAGCTTGGACTTGATTTTCTGTCTCTAACTCATTTGCCCAATCCCATGGCACTCTCAAAGGAATAGTGTTCTTCTTTTTAAATAGTGTCTTTCTTCCAAAAACTGCATTCCCAACTGATATACTGTCTACAGAGGAGTAGCCTCACCCACCACTAAAATGTCACAATTCCTTTCAGGCAAGCTGGAACTGCTCAAAGGGCACAGCCACAGTAGTAGGCAGGAACATTCATTCAGAGCAGGAGGCAGGGAGTAGACAGGGAAGGTCAGGACCCTCCTCTGGGTGAGGGGAGGTCGGAGTGTCGGTCTCCTGGGCTGGCATGGGCACTGTTGTATGACATCATGTCATCTCTGGGTCCTTTCTATCTCATCTTTCTCATTTGATGCTCTTGGGATCAAGACTCTCTCCCTTTAGACGTAGATCCTAAGTTCAGTTGAAGTTTTATTTTTTAAAACTTTAGTTTTACCTACCCATACCAGCAAAAATCAGATGACCCTCATTGTCTCACCCCTGTGGTAATGAGGTTGTGATAGCAACTGCCCTGTGGTTAGGGTGCCTGCAAATGAAGACCCCAGTTTTTGAAGTAGGAAGGGAAATTTATAAACCTGCTGAGGGAAGCCAAAGTTTTCATGAAACAACTAGAAAAGTATATAAAGCAATACATAATTAAATACTAGATTATAGAGTAAGGAGACCCGAGGGACGTAAGATTGCAAAGAACAGGTAAAATCACTGCAGATTGGGCATAGTCTGGGAGGTTTTGTGTGGGATGTGGATCTTGAAACTTGATCTTAAGTGAGGTATTTGCATTGGAATGGAGGAGGAAGGAAGCCATTCCACATAGTGGGGAAAGTAGCATTAAAGGGCTGGACAGTGCTAAGGAGCCCAGGAGAGGTCCCCGTGAGGAACGAAGAGTGACCAGGTGCTACACTTATATAGAGGGATCAGTTCCCTCTTTCCCAGTTATCCATGGGATATTTCAGAGGTTTTTGTTTTGCTTTGTTTAGGGGGAGTTTATTTGTTTGTTTCAGGTTATGGTTGTTCATTTCTGCATCTCTGCTAAAAGCCCAGTGGAAACATAGCACTTTTCTTTACATTTTAAAATATGGGCTTCTGTTAGAAAATCATGTCATAGCATAAATGCAAACTCATAGAATACAGGATTGGGAAAGAATTTGGAAGTTCCAAAACTGAGGACTAATTTATCCTATGTTTAGAGCCTGCAGAAAGTCTCCCCCACCCCGACCCCTTTGGTCAAACTCAAAGCCATTCCTGAGTTTTTTTCTTGGTCCATTATCAGTGTTCTATGGCTGTATTTGAACCTCTTCTTTCCTCAGTGGTACCAAAACAATCTTTTCCTAAAATATCCAAAGTACTCCAGGCACTAACTCAAAGATCAAACTCCACCTGAACAAGGCAAGCTGTCTGAGACTCAGTTTATATTTAAAAATAAATATAATAATGGCATATGCATCAGATGGTCATAGTGAGAATTCACATCTATACAACCCTTAGCATGATGTCTGGGTAGGGACTCATGGATTACAGGTGTCCATAAGTAATTTTTACTATTGTAAGAAAAGAAGTCATACTTTTGTTTTCAGAAGCCCAAAATAGTAAGTGATATAGTGGTTTTATTTTCATGAAAGTAAGATCATCAAAATTACCATCTTGAACCAATGTGAATTTCATACAAATGAGATGAATTCCGTGTCATCTTTCAGCTCCACCTGTCGGTTTTTCCAGCTCTGATTCTCTAAAAAACACACATATGTGAACAGCTTTTCCCAGAAGGCAGCTGCCCTTGCAGATCCATGGCTCTTCCTGCAGCCCTCTGCAGCTCTCTGCTGCAGTCCTTCCCAGTTCTGGCTTTGTCCTGCTGTCCAGGCTCCCAAGACCCCACCCCACCCTTGACCCCTCTGTCACTCTTTAATCTTGTTGACCAGCTCCCTCTCACCCACTCATCCCAAATGACAGAGCCCACACTGTCCCTGCTGGTTCGCATCTTCCCACCAGGCCTGTGGGGATTCTCCCTCATTGACCCAGGGCCAAACTCAGCTGTCAGGCCGCTGAAACGGTCTGTTTGCTTTTCTTAAGCGAAGTAAAGCGGTAGGTCTGTTTTTTCCATCTCGAGAAAGTTTAGGGCCTTCCTTTTGAAAATTCAGCACTTTCCTTACTTTTTTGGATCCAGGAAAACTGACAATTAGACCTTTCTTGCAGCTTCACTTCTCAGTGGGGGCAGGGCAAAGGCATCTGAGTGGGCGCTCTTTTCTTCCAACGGAGACCAACTGCAGATTCCTTTTAGATGTCAAATGTCGACAAACATTTCTTTACAAATCATTTTTCTCCAACTAGAAGTAGTCATTCGATTGTTAGAGTGAATACATTTTAAAAGTGATTAAAGATGTTTAGATACAGAAGCTTTTATGGATTTCAAGGAAGTATACATCAGGGAAGATAAAAAAATTAAACCTGGCCCGTCTTACCTGGATAAGAGCCTTATATTGTTGGTTTCCAAAATATATGTGGTTTAAGGCCTGGCAAGGCTGATCTTCCTTGGAACTTCTTTTCCTTCTAGAGGCAGCACATACTTGAAGATCTAAAAGTGAAAGGAGAAACACATACATTGCATATGTGGCACCTGGGTCATTGTGCCAGGGCATAAATAGGCTAGTTTTCCAGGCTCTTGTCCAGATGAGTTATTCAAGACTGGAGCCAGGAAATCACTCGGCCTTCCAGAATATCTGCTCAGGAAGGACCTTGGGCATCGCTGCACCAGCCCATAGAGGTTAAAGGATCAGTCCAAACTCCCCAGCTCCTGCAGCCTAGAAATAGGACCAGCACCCAAGCTCTAGGCCTCAGGATGGTTCTTGCCCTTTTGCTTCCTCTCTGGACCAGTCCACTGCCAAGGTTCTAATTAAAAGGAGCAGCCAGGAGCCAAAGGTAGATTTTGTGGCTGGACCACATCCCTTTTCAGCTAGGAAGCCGACACCTCCCACCTGTGGCCTCAGGGCTGAGTCTGGCACCAGGGCCGGTTTGGATCCCTTCTCTGTCAGTCAAGGGGAGGCCAGCTCCTGGCTTGGTCTCACGTAAACCCTTCCATGTGCTCATTCATTCACATCCAGCGCTCTGTTTTTATTTACTTGTTTTCATTCTTGAGGAAGTGTTGCCAGTTGGAGAAAGGAAGGCCTCTTCTCTGTTTGAGCTGCAACCAAAGGAAAGTATGGGTCAGAAAGCACATTTCCCAGTAAGGAAGGTTTTTTTGAAGCCAACCTCTGATTCTATCAGGGCTGCTTAAAACTGCCAACTTTGAAACTCATTTCCTTGGAAGTAATGGAGTGAGTACAAAAGTAACAAGCCTTCAGGAAGGAAAGGCCAGACACAACTTAATTAAACTGGCTTAAAGGGGGCTCCCCTGATTACAGAGAGTCGGTGTACATTGTGGAGGACAGAAAACTGAAAATATAAACTACCTACTATTCCAGCAATTTACAAATTAGTACTGTTAAGGGTTTTTGTTTGTTTTTAAAATGTATATCCTTCTCCTCTTTTTCTTAGTGCATGTAAAGTATTTTTAAATGGGTTCATTTTATCCAAATTGGACTGCAGTTTGCTGCATCTCTTAGTTTATCCCACATATTTTGCTAGTAGTAGCCTGGTTTTGATGACTAGTGTGCATTTAAACTAAGCTTGAGAGTATAAATTCCATAAAGAATGCATTTTAGGAGAATATTTGTTTGCCTAACATGGGTTACATGTCTGGCCCCTTCCCCTTCAGAACCTGGATGTGGATTGGTGGCTGGCAGCCTTCTGGTCTGATGTACAAAATAAATGAATGGGAGGTAGAGGGAGGAAAGGAAAGGAAAGTGAAAAAGCAGTTTGATCATTTCAGAAATAAACTTGAAACTCTCAGATACCTGAGTGTGCTTATGGATGAAAACCTCGAAATACTGGGGGACCACTTGAAGGTGGATTTGACTCTAAGTTCAGATGATAGAGCATGGGGGTCATAGCACAGGGCAGAGTTCCCACCCCACTACCTACTAGGGGACATGTCCTAATGTCCTGGCCTCAGTTTCCTCGCCTGTAACAAGGTATTGTTACTACCTTTAAACTTGCTGTGAGGATTAAGTGAGATCATTCACATCAAGTGCCCCCCTCGGTGCCTACCTTTGGTAAGTGTGGTGGATATTGATTGTGGTTACTTCTATTGCTACCATTGTTTTACCGTATCAAATGCCAGGATATAACCTTTAAATTATCATTTCAAGGTAATAAAAATTGGGTTGTCCAGAGATCAGTGTTCAAGTGTTGAGTTATTTTAATTCTTCAAAGTAGAAGTTGTCCATTAATCATGCATAAGTCAAATGTTACTGGAATGTGGTGTGCCAATGAAGTGATCCTTAGTGAAGTAGTTAATGTTGGAGAATCTTGCCTTGTTTGCATCATACATTATGACTACATGGCTTCATGAATTATCTTATTTCATTGATACCAAGTGGCACACTTTTCATGTTTTCATCTTTAAATCAGGATTTCTCTTATAACCAATGGTATGCCATATTTAATGATATGCTTTCTTTCTCAGTACTACCTAAAATAATACAATTTAAAATTGTTGACATCTTATATTTAATAAAATATGTTTATTTCTTTCTTTATTTTTAGACTGCAAAGGCCTTGTTTTATAGTTATTTATTTCTAGTAATTGGAAATACCAGTGTTCTCAAGAGGATCACTCCATATTTTAACTGCAAATTTATTTCCTAGCCTCAGATAGTTTTCAATAATCTAATTAATTTGGGGAAGGAAGCTAAAAATCAATGTTTCTGCCAGTTTTGTGTATATTAGCATCATAAAACAAAAATACTATCAGGTATTAGTATTTCTGTATGTGTGTGGGTATACTCTAAATTGTAAAACCCAGTTTGTTCTTTTGTAATGCTAAACTGATTGTTCTTCAGTGGCTCAAATATAATGTAAATCTACAGAGACACCATCTACCTATCTATCTCTCTACTGTCTAACTTAACTATAATATTTAATTATTTTCACTCATTAAGTCTCTTAAAGAGACTTCAACTCAAGCTTGTGGGTATATGAAACAATTATAAAATTCATTAAATAATATCAATATGATGCTTATTTCCTACCCAAGATTTTAAAATTACATTTTAACTTCTTTTTATTTTCTTCTAGAACTGATCTAAGGTTATTTATCAGTAGGAAATTCCCATATAATTACAAGGATTTCAAAACACCACACTTGTTAAAAGGAAAAAAAACACATTTTTGCCACTAGTGCTATTATAAAATCATTTAGAAACTTGAAAGATTTGTTGCTTAAAGTTTCTTTGTTTTTAAAAATTCATTGACAATTTTCACTGATGCATTAACTTTAAAGGGCTTTTATTTTGGTGACTTGAGAGGCAAATTTTTGATTTATGGATAAAATATATACACTTACAAGAGACCAATAAATCTATAACTTTTTGAGATCCCATGGGGGATATAAAGCATTTAGTAATGCCTTTTCTGAAGCCTTTATCTGAAAATTTCTTTAAATTTATGAATTATTTTATATATGCTTTAAAAATTCAACTTTAGCTCTTTATGAGAAACTTCTACTGAAAACCACTGTAGTCACTGTCTTGTTCTCTGTAGTTGTGAAGTTATCCTAGCTAGTGTTTAATATTTCATTTATTTTTATCAAGCAACTAGTATAATCTTGGGAGAATTTTGGACTTTATTCTAGAATCATTTGGCTTCCAATGAAAAACAATGCAAAACTACATTTATTTTTTAATTCTGGTTATAGACATACATCATTGTATGATGTTTTGGAATAAGTAAAATGTATATAAAGAGAAGAAAAAAATCATCCACAATTTAAGTGTATTACAAATAACCACTATTAATATTTCATATTTCCCTACTTTTTATAATTTTTTTTTAAATTTTAGCTGTAGATGGGCCACAATACCTTATTTTTATGTGGTGCTGAGGATTGAACCCAGTGCCTCACACATGCTAGGCAAGTGCTCTACTACTGAACTACAACCCTAGTCCCTTATGTTTTAATATATGTATTAATGAGCATATTTTTGTATATCTGTAGCCATATATAATCTTAAAATATGTATATACCATATATATATTCAGTTTAAGTTTTTTAACATTAGATAATAAGTATTCTCACATATCATTAATTATTGTTCAACAGCTTATTTTTTTATGATTACATAATATGTCCTTTATGGACAAGTAATTCACTCAGTCATTCCCCAGTTGTTGGACATTTAAGTTGACTAAATTTTCTTACTAGTATAAATTCATCAAGCATAAAAGTGATACAACTGAGGTAGTACTGAAAAGAACACAAGCATAAAAGTAATAAATTGAGATCCTGCTAAGAGAGATGAACATGATATGATGGTGATGTGCCAGGTGGATTACATGGTAAGATGAGAGAGACCCCTCAGGGGAAGAACAGGGAGTGAGGGCTAACCACAGATCCCATCTATAGGAACAGAAAGGAAGAGATGGCTATGAAACTGTTGTCTTCACACTTGGCAGGACTTGGCAAATGTGAATACTCATGAGGCAGGAGTCAACGGTCACTTCAAAGGTTATTTCACATGCTGGGAATAAACAGAAATTGTCAGATTTGGAACAGGGATCAGCATGTTGAGTGTCATCCATTTACCATGACCCTGATGGTCAGTTGAGCTGAACTGGAGCTTTGATGGACTCTTGGGACTAGAAATGAAAGTACAAGTCATAAATGGAAAGAGAACATAATGGTGGACCTGGGGAAACACTGATACATTTGAGGATGGTTTGGCATAAGTGGAGGAAACAGGGCCCAGTTGAAATCTTTAGGAATTGTCCCTATTTTGATGAAAAGGAAGGAAGAAGAACCTGTGAGAGAAGAATAGGCAGAGAGGAAGGGAGGGAAGGAGGGAGAGAGGAACAGAGAGAGAAAGAGACAGAGAGAGATCATGCACAAATTGAATCTCCAGTAATGGAAGTCACTAGGAGTCCAGAAAGGAAAAGAGCCTCAAGAATAAAACCCACAGTGTTAGGAGCCACAGGCAACTATGCCCAGACAGGCGACTGAGAAGTTAATTGCAACTTTAAAAAACAAAACCAAAGAACCCTACTTCACTGGTGATAAGCCAAGTCGAAAGGTATTGAGGAACAAGTGGATGATATCTAGGATTTAGAAAACTTGGAAGAAGTGGGGATGTACACATGACAGGAGAGCCGGGAAAAGGGAATACACATGTGCTCTCCTGCCTCCTTCAGAGATAGTCTTCTTCCAACAAACATGGACTCTCACCAGAAAGCTGTCCAGGGAATAGAAGATATAATTCACATAGGCCACCTACCATGTAAGCCTGAAATTTACTATTAAGAAATATCCTTTATCTTTTAAGAACCTTCAAAGGATACATTATTCAAGGGAGGGGGGGGGATATCTTTTTCAGACAACCACTGAGGAAACTGAACCCAACAGCCAAGAGGATGAGAACGATGGTGGAAAACCAAGAAAAGGGAATGCAGAACTCGCCTCCTCAGGTTTGTTTCTTAACACACTAGTTTTAAGGTAAGATCTGATGAAAACTCCTGAGATATAATGGAGTTGAGGATGTTGCCTCATGAATGGGAAAGGTAAGTAGGTAGACTCCACAAGGGGTGTGCTTGTGCTGCCACCTGGAGGCTTCCTGGGGAAATTCTGACTATAGAACTAAAGTTACTATGAAAATAGAATCCCCGACTTCATTGCTGCTTGGTTATGTTTTGTTTTTTGAAAATCTATCTCCAGTTCTAAAAAAAATATTATATTTTCTCATATAACTAACTCTACAATTTGGGGTCTTTTTTTTTTGGTACCAGGGATTGAACCCAGGGGTGCTTAACCCCTGAGCCACATCCCCCACCCTTTTTATTTTTTATTTTGAGACAGGGTCTCACTAAGTTGCTTAGGGCCTCCCTAAGTTGCTGAGACTGGTTTTTGAACTCACGATCCTCCTGTCTCAGCCTCCTGAGCCACTAGGATTACAGGCATGCGCTATGGTGCCTGACTTGAAGGTCATATTTTGACACACTGTAGCAGCAATAGATAAGACATACATCAAAAATAATTTCATAAAAACTGGGCTGAGGGTATATCTCAGAGGTAGAGCACTTGCCTAGCATGTAGGAGGCCCTGGGTTCCATCCCCAGCAACACACACACACACACACACACACACACACACACACACACACACTGTAACTCAGCTTCATGTTGCCAGGGGAGGAACTAGTCTTAAGTGCTCATTGAAGGAACATAGTCCCTCTTGTGATTTTATGTTTCTTCTTTCTGTTTCTGTCTGGAACTCCCTTTCAGAGCCACAGCATTTTACGACAACTGTGACTCGATGCAGCCCGACGGTGGCCTTTGTGGAGTTCTCCTCCAGCCCCCAGCTGAAGAACGATGTGCCAGAAGAAAAAGACCAGAAGAAGCCAGAACATGAGATGAGCGGAAAGGTGGAGCTGGTGCTGTCACAAAAGGTGAAGGACCGAGTGGAGGGCGGCAGTGAATCCCCAGGGTGAAGGCTCTGCGTGCTGCCCTCGGCGGGGCTGGGCTGCATGATGATTTGTTTTCTCTCCTAATCCGCTTTCCTACCTTTAATCTGCATTTTTCCCTGAAAACCGATAAACTACATGTTCATTGAGAAGAATTTATTATAAACATATAAAGTTATATACATATAAACATGCAACACTATATGTAGTTATATTTTTTAAAATACACACCAAAATAGGATGAGAGAGGGAGAAGTCACTGAAACTTACTTCTTATTAGTAATACTTAGCATATATTCTTTCATCATCTCTTAAAATTTATCTTAAATAATTTTTTTTTTTAATTTTGAAAAATTCAATATACTTGAAAGAAAAATGTAAATACAATTTATAAAGCCCTGAAGTTAGGTTTTCATTTGCCATGGGTAAGTCGCTTATTTGCTTTTAAACCTATCAGCCTTCTAAATATTTTCTTCCTAATATTTACCTCAATTTTAGCAATAGTACTTTGGATGCCTCTGGATTTCAATAACAAGAAACTCGGGAGATTATTATTCTACTATAATAGCTTTTAAAGTTGTGTTCTTATTAAATTTCTTCCATGTTTGGAGTCTCATTTACATTAGTTTGGTTTGTTTTCAGACACTAAGTCTTCACCATTTACCCCAGTTATCTCAACCTTGGCTACTCTGGTAGTCTTAAAAACCACTAAACCTGGGCTGGGG